CGCGATAAACTTTGCGAACGAGGATGCAAACCGAACGACTCGGTTGTCTCGCTTGAGGAGAACGTCACCCATAATGTGTCAACGTATAAATGTCTCTCGCGCGCTCATCACTTCCGCCAAAAACGACTCGTCCCCGGTAGCGAAGCACCACGTAGCGCCGTGAGGTAGCCGGCACACGATATAAAATTACGGTAATCCGACGCTGTACACGGTAATCCGAGCGGATAATTCGACTTGAGCGCTTCGCGGCGAGCCGACCTTCGGATTTAGCCTTCGCGTGCTCGCTTGTCGCTTCTACGACGGCGAAGCAGCGAGAGAGAGAGAGAGAGAGAGAGAGAGAGAGAGAGAGAGGAACGAAAAGCCCAGAAGTTGACACCCATGCGTCAATCACCAATTTCTCCCACCAGCCATTTCGCAGCTGCTCGATTTCTTTAATTTCATTCAGTCCAAGTATTCTTTTTCATTCGTCGAGTGAACGATCACGCGCACGTCGCACATTTTGCGAACGACGAGCCCCCCAGTCGCGGAATTCACGCTGACGAAAAGAAGAGCATCGCCGGTCACACCGGCGCGCGGCGGGTCTTCCTTAGAAGAGGCTTCGTAGAAGCATTGTGAATGAAGAATGCGGTCTTTTTTCAACCGAATCACTACTGACGTACGGTACCTACCGGTCGCGACTCGAGCACATATCGTGCGCGAAACTTTTTTCCCCCGCTCGTTCTTCAACGACAGACGGACGATGCCACGTGTCTGGTCGTCGTCGAGAGTGTCTCACGAAATTTCGCCTCGGAATTTCCGACTATATACGTGATTCTCTCTCTCTCTCTCTCTCTCTCTCTCTCTCTCTCTCTCTCTCTCTCTCTCTCTCTCTCCCCCCCTCTCTCTCTCCCTCCCTCCCTCCCTCCCTCCTTCCCCCTCCCTCCCTCTCTCTCTCTCTCTCTCTCTCTCTCTCTCTCTGACGTGTCTAAAAAAATCTCCGGATATGCGAAACGTACAGAAATTTCGCAAAATACGCGGGATTTTGCAACAGGCTGATAATGCACATTGCGTAACGGCACGAAAAACACGAATGAGCTACTTCTCGACGACGCTTGCATAACGTGTTTACACGACATATTGCGGAATGAATGGAGCGAAACGCGTCGGGACGGACGATAAATCGCTCAGGAATGAGAATGAGCGGCTCGCGATCATCATCTTGGTCTCGTTGGTATAATTCCCGAGATATCTGCGAGACATAATACAGTTTAATCGGTATCATATCGAATATGATGCGAGGTCTTTTGTCGAGCGAAAGAGAAACGTAACGATCGGTGAGGGAGGGTTCTTTTTAGAACCGATAATTACTAAATAGATCTTAAATAGATATCCAATGAAGTGAAACGTTTTAATAAACCACTGAGAGCCAACGCAGTCGTTGGTTGTTGCAAATAATTTATTTATTTGTCTTAACACACAAGGAAGCTAGTATTATTTCTCGATATCTATTGGGTTGGCAACTAAGTGATTGCGGATTTTAAATAAGAATGAAAATTCAAAATTTTTAATTTGCTTTTTTAAATTTCTTCAATGCATGTATGCGATACATTGAGCTTCTCTGCAATATCACGTGTTGTGTTATGATGATCTGAATCGATAATGGCCTTGATATGGGTCTCATCGACTTCAACTGGACGGCCAGATCGTTAAGCATGTTTCAATGAAAAATCACCAGAACGAAATCTGGCAAACCAATTTTGACACTGTCTTTCTTTCAAGACTTCATTCCCATATACGGCACATAACTTCTTGTGTGCTTGCGATGCGTTCTTGCCTTTTCGGAAATAATACAATAAAATATGTCTAAAGTGCACGTCTTGCTCTTCCATTTTTAAATTAGGATAAAAACAAAACTAAAGAACTAATCGATATAATTTTTGTACTAAATGAAAGGTAGAAGTCCAAACAATAAGAAAAAAATATAGGTTAGGTACTTTGAACACGTTAACGAAACAAAAGAAAGTGTAAAATCCATCTGTCGATAAAATCCGCAATCACTTAGTTGCCAACCCAATAATAGTGAAAAGAGGACAAGAGAGGTAATAGTAACATACCTTTTCTTTTTACGTTAATTTATCTTTTCTCTGAAAATAATATAATCAAGTACTAATTATATATATACATCGTATGGAAAAGACATTTTTCCTATAAAAATAGCGAAATAAATTAATTAATATCAGAGAAAGATTTCAAAAATTATGAGAAACATAATATGCTCGAGAATATTAAAAAATAATATAAAATTTCTCTTTAACGACATCAAAATAAATCAATTACTCGTGATGAAATTAACGACGCTCGATATTCAATCGAAAATTCAATCGAAATTCAATCAAAATGCGTTCGACTATTCTATTCGGCTCGCCGGCTCTACATATGCCCTGAGACACCCGGTGTATTTACATAAGACTCCAGCACGGCGCAGGTAATACGCGTCGGTCCGGTTCGGAGTGGTCGACGATGCAGCGGAAACCTGTACAACCACGCTAACCTGTTCGGGCTGGTGCGGCGAGCAAAAAAGGGAAGAGGACCAGTCAACAAAAGATATGGCTGCCGGATTTTTCTGCCTGGTCTCGCGCCGCATCGCGTCACGATTTCACGCGGAGCTCGCTCGCTCGACGTACGTTTGATCCATCTATCGATCGACATATTCCGTACTCTTTTATCCTGAATCACCCATTCCGCGTTGCGTGGCCGGCGAAATGTGATATTGAATGTGATATTTATATATAGGGAAAGGTATTGCATCCTTTCGAGCATTTATTACATAAATGATTGTTTTAGAAATCGCGAATATAATATAAAGCTTCTCTGATGAAGCTAATGAATAAATTGTTTATAAATCTCGTACACGTGAGATCGGAAATGTTTCTCCCTCGTGTCTATGCACAAAAAATACGATACAACGCGAATAAGGAATGTTAATTTTGCATTATTCATAATCTAATTTACATATTTAGTTATTTTCTTTTATTGAGGAAATATTTGATAGATTGAGAGAATGTTTGACGACGAGAATAATAAATATTTTCTTCCTACATTTATTCGTCGGTTCTCTCTTTTTACTTTTTTATCTTTTTCTTTTTCGATGGTCAGTACCGTCAATCCGTAATTTTATCCCCTGACCGGCGCATCCGCGAGAATGGGATTGAATAATGCACTCACACTCCTTGCTTCACGTCATAACGTATTCATGAGTCACGGCTATCCTCGTGAGCAGGAGAGAGTTTGGGCGTTACTCGAGTAAATATTTTACTTACGAACAGAGTGAGACCGCGAATCGCGAAGTGGCATTGTCTGTTCGCGTTTTTTTCTTTTTTCTGTCTTTCTTTGTAAAACTAGGAATAAGTGTTCTGCGCGTTTATTCTTTCTCCCTCGTTTCCCTTAAAAATATTATATCTGATCCGGATAATCGAGTCACGCGCGACGAAAACAGGAACATATCGGCACATACGTGAAATTATCATTATCACGTGCGGGAGAGAGGCTTCACGCTCGAGATACCACGAGTTATTCTCTTTATCGCGAACACCGTCGAGATAAACTCGGATTCTTCCCTCACCGGAAATGCTCCCTTGTTACTTGCGTTTATTCAGAAATCCACGCGTGGCGAAAAATATATTGCGAAAATACAGACTCTCGACCAAGTTCGGAGCGACATTTACGAGGAAATTATTCCGAAATTCTCGTTCTCCGCGGCTCACCTGTAAAAGCATACTCCGCTCTCCGAAGCTCTCTGTACTCGCTTTATTAGTCAATTGAAAATTATCTCACAAAAATCTTCGTGGCGTAACATAATAGATAATGAAATAAAACTCAACTTCCGTAATGAAAAAATAAACGACTAAAGACACACGCGAATGTTTCGTTCTTGTTCACTAGAATAATTTTAAGCCCTGGTTGTAGATATGCTTTTCGCGCTTGCTTTGTTTACACATGGAAGATACGAGCAAGCCGCTTCAATTATTTATCAACGGTAACTCCTATCGCGTTGCCTCGGCATTGAAACGATTTGTGGCAACAAAATGCGCATTCGCGGCCTTGAATTGTACGATCGGTATATACATGGAATTTGCACAATCTTCGCTCGGGACCGCTGCCCCGATGAGCTTCGTTCCTGGTTTCGTTTCAATTTTCATCTACTCTATTGTGTGTATACACAGACGCATGTATGTATATGTATATGGGAAACCGGCTCGTTTAATCGATCGAAATTGGTTAATTCGACGAGGCCAAACAATCCTGCATCGTCGTCTCGACCGAGAATATGCCGATGCAGGCGAGGACTATCGGATGTTGTCAGCCTCGTTAGAATTAGCCACTCCTAAGGAGGATCGACCGGTGATGAAATTATTTTGTTACTTCCCTCTGTCGGGTATTCTCACAAAAACTCATCCCACAGTATGTTCCTTTTTATCCTCCATTTTCACAACCGCTTTTACACTTATGCGTGTCTCTCCAATAAAATATATTTATAAAAGCGTTTTTCTCCTATATTTATTTGTTTTTTTCTTTTTTTTGACACAGTTATGTTTACAAATAAGACTTTGTCGCAAATTTAATGATGTATGGAGCACGCCGCCATGTTAGCGGTTCGAAAATTCAAAATTACAACCCGCCATTGCTCGCCGCAGGTCAACAATTCTTATTGTAATTCGACGAGGCTTCAATTCGCGCAACGATTTCCTTGTACCAGATAAACGAGATCCGTTCTACGGACGTAAACGCAAGACGAAGATCAAGTAGTCGCGTGTGCTGAACGAAACTACGCATTTAGAACGAGGAGACACGCGTTAACGCAATCCTCCAGATGGAAGAGAGATGAGGAGAGAAATGGCGGTGAAAAGAAGCGAAGTGAAACAAAAGGAAACAGGACGAGGAAGAACAAAAACGATAAAAACAAAGAAAAGAAAAGGAGAGAAAAGAAAAGAAAGAGACTAATAAATATATTATTCACTCACCCAGATCCTCCACGAGACGTAGCATGACACCGCCGATGTGTAGCTCGCCCTTCACGCGTAAACTCCTCTCGACCTGCAGGTCTGTCACGTAGACGCGCAGCACCCAGCTGCCATCCACTTCGTGGCCCCCGTCGGAATACATGTCGAGCGATCTTGTTACCTCTTCTTTTTCACTGGATACGACAGACGCGGCAAAGTCACCGAGAGAAAGAGAGATCCGTCGTCGCGCACGCACACACGTTGTCACTCGTTCGCGCGGTCGTTTCCGTCTTAGAGACGCTTCTCCGGTTCAACGCTCGGCAAACATGACTTCTCCGCGAGCGATCCGTTCGCCACTGCCGTGCGCGATAACCGATAACTGACGGATTGTCAAGCGTGGAAATGCGGCAAAAAATCACGCGTGAAACCGTCTCCGATTCTCTGTACTACGCGCGCGCGCGCGAGCGCACGTACACCCACACGTGCGCAATCGCGGATGGATTACGGATTACGTTAGAAAACGCGCACAATCACCTTCGCTCCTTCGAACCGCTCGAATGCGAATGCCGCGATGCACGTTCAAGAACGTCGCACATCGGTTGTCTTCGGCGGCGCTCGGGCACATTCGGCTTCCGCGGCTTAAACTTCGCTCGCGCATGCGCCTATTCGACAGGCGAGAATGAGAATAGGACCATATATGAACGACGCATGATTGTGTCATATAAACGACGCGCGTCTCTGTTTCCTCTGCTTTTCTTTTCAACTATTTCATTTTCTGTTTCTCTTTCTCTTTTTGTTAATTTTTCAAGACTTTTTGTTTCAAGATTTTTTCCAATTTGGGTCGATTAATATTTGCCTTATAGCTGAGATTTTATTATCCTTAGCTTCCAACCGACTACTCACGCTCAAAATAGTCCCGGGCCCATATTCTTGAAAAATATCGAATATAATATTTCATGAATATCACTAAATAACACGACTCTCAGCCAATTAAATTGACTCGTTAATGCAATATCGTATACAATATTTTTCACAAATTTTCAAGAATAAAGGCCCCAACTCGTTTTGCAGCTCGATCTTTTACGATTTGTGACAAATGCGGAAGTTTGTGCGCCATAACTATCACCGACAATTATCGGCTAGTTATTTGCCTAACTTTGTTGGCTTTAGCAGCGAATTCGATACTGAAAATTCGATATCAAAAATTTTGGAAATAACTATAAAATGCAACAATTTATATTTCTTTTCTAATTTTTAGAGAAAATAGATAAATGTGATTCATTTCGAATTACCGGGCTTGTATTATTCTTGAAAAATGTAACATATGATATTTCATGAATGTCACTAGATATCACGATTCTCAGTTAATTAAATTGCCCATTGATGAAATATCAATAATATATATTTTTTACAAATTTTCAAGGATAAAGATGCCTTTTCACACGTCGCTCGTCGTCGCTAGATTTCTCGATACATGATTGGCCGTAATTACTTTTGTCGCTGGTAACTCTGTTGATCCATGAAAAGAGTTGAAGCGATATTTTGTAACCTGAAAATAGTGAAATTGTGTAAATAGTACATATTTGTCTTGAAAGGTGTTTAGTGAGAGGTGAATTTCAAAATTTAGTTTAATCTGTTATTGATAATTATTATATTCGATTTTCGGAAAATTTTGAATTTTGTGAAAGTACTTAGTTTTTGAGAAGTAAAAATTAAGAAGTTATTAATTTCTTTTTCTTTAAAGTTACACAGATATATGCAAGAAAAGCAATCTGTAATGCTAGCTTACAAATATCAAACATGGGTTCATTAATACAAAACAGCCTTGATAATTAATAAAAAAAAAAGTGAAAAACGCAAGAAAAGTGCATGCTGCTGTTGCACTACACGAAATATTGAGAAAAGAAAAAAGAACGTATCAGCCTAAACGTTTTTGAATTGACCCATTATTTCATGAACGTCATACTCATGGATTTTATCATGCCTTACATCCTGTCATTTTATTAAACGAAGCTCGATTCAGAAATTATTTTAAGATGACTGCAACACAATTTGAGCAACTACTGGAAATGGTTGGTCCTATTATTACAAAACAAACAGTTATTCGTGAACCGATTTCAGCGGAAGAACGTTTGTCATTAACTCTGAGGTATGTAAAAATGTACAACAAATCTTATAACAAAATTAGTGTTCTGCACTTAAGTTTTATAACAAAATCAGGATTCTGCATAATTATATACATGTTTATATAAATTTTTTCTTTCAGATTCTTGGCATCAGGGGATTCAATGACTTCAATGTCGTATCAATATTTGATTGGTTTGACAACTGACACTAACATAATCGATGAAATATGTGAAGCAATTTCGAATTGCCTGCGAGAGGTTGTGCTTAAAGAGTCTATAGAAACTGATGAATGACGTAGAATCGCTAAAAATTTTGAAAATACTTGGAATTTTGTACATTGTATTGGAGCAATCGATGGAAAACATGTTATGATACAGGTTGAAAATTCTTTTATCCGAATGTATTGGAAAAATAACTGTTTTCTAATATTGACTTCGTAAAGTTGGTTATTTTACTAAATTCTTTGATGTTTTTTAGTGCCCTAATAATGCCGGTTCGCTGTATTTTAATTACAAACACTGGAACAGCATAGTATTGCTTGGAATCTGCAACGCTGAATACATTTTTACGTTTGTTGATATTGGAGCTTATGGCCGACGTAGTGATGGGGGAATTTTCAAGGATTCTGTGATAGGAAATTTGTTTGAAAAAAAAAAAATTAATTTACCCGAGTCAGAGTCAATTTCACCTGGCGGGAAGTTTTTGTCCTACATTCTCGTAGGAGATGAAGCATTCCAATTGGCAGAATATTTACTGCGCCCATACCCTGGAAAATATTTAAACATCGAACGTAGAATATTCAACTATCGATTCAGTCATGCTAGGAGAACAATAGAGAACACTTTCGGGATTCTAGTCAGCAGATGGAGAATATTAAAACGATCTATAATTTGTAGTGTCGAAAAAACAATAAAAATAGTTCAAGCCATTGTGTGTCTCCATAATTGGCTTCGTATTGCAGACATTGATGAGAATCAGTATGTTCCTCCCTCTATGGTAGATCAGTATACCTCAGATGGCGAGGTTCCTGGTTCGTGGAGGAATTTTACAGAAGGAAGTGCATTGCACGACATAGGTAAATTTGGTTCAAATAATAGCAGTCGTCGAGCGCAGGGTATTCGAGATGAATTTTTCAACTATTTTTATGGTGAAGGAGCAATTCCCTGGCAGTTTGATTGTTTGTAAAATAAATAGTATTTCAAAAGATTGCATATGAAACTATACTTCACATATTCGATGTAGTACTTCTTATATATTCATGTAATTTAATTACATGTTTTAATATTTACGTACACAATTATTATGTATTATTATTATCTATCGGAATAAAATGTTTTAATTGAAAAAAGTTTTTAAAATGAATAAATAAATTTTCCAAATGATGGGATCTCACTTGAGATCTTCAGACGGAACATCATGATGCATTGTTCATAAAGTTTAGAAAGCAAATGGGTCGTGAATTAATCCCATGTCAAGAAGAAAATAAAGGAAAAATCATAAAATATACGCGATTCCGGAAAATATATACTCAAGCAATGTAAAAAAATACTCTAGATCTTTCTTCTCGATTTGTACTAATTTGTACAACTCCTCAATGTTACTTTAATGTAGTTCTGAAATAATAATAATAATAATAAATAATAATAATAATAATAATAATAATAATAATAATAATAATAATAATAATAATCTTGTCGCTGCTAAAGTTCAATTAATTTAACTTTATTTTCTTGTCGCTAGCGACGACGATAATACCACATGACACGTCCATCGCTAGTGACTAGCGATGTATGAAATTGCACTTTAAGAACCTCGATCAGCATGTCGCCTATAAATGAACTTTTGAACGGTGACAAGAGTACCAACCATATAGCGTTAATGGTGCTTCACGACACTCAATGGCCGCGTTCAGTAGAACAAAGTGATCAGAGAGCGCTTAGTGATTATTGTCTGTGATTGGAACATTCTTTTAGATTCTTCGTAGACCCAGAAGTATTTACTAATCAGGAGCGAGATTCAGTGGAAAATCTAGTAATGTTGTCCAACTATTGAGTCTGCTGAATGCAGCCATTGGGTGCATTCAGTACTACAACCGCTCACTGAGCGCTCAATGAGCTTTTACATTTGATTGGTATATTCCTTTAGATTTAAAAATATACACCAATCAGATGCAAGAGCTCACTTAGCGCTCAGTGAGCGGTTGTAATACTGATGCACCCAATAGTTGCGCAACTGTTGAGTAATTCATCAACGTAATTGGTCTGAATGTAAGGATCTAACAGTAAGGACCAATAGTCACTAATCGCTCACTGAGCGGTTTTCTCCGCTCTTCCGCTGAACGCACCCATTGGTCGTGTTCAGTGGAAAAAACTGCTCTGCTACCGTTCTGTAGCAAACGTCTCTGATTGGTACGTCTGTTCGGATCTGCCAAAGATTTAAAAGAATTCTCCAATCATGAACATTTGTTACTGAGTAGTAGCGGCGCAGTTTTCTTCGCTGAATGTGACCATTGACAGTATTTATGAGATTTGTAATATGTTCTTTTTAGCTACACTGCTGAACCGGTGCAATAAGTTAAAATAAGAAAAATATAGTTATCTCATTCTAACTTATTGTATCAGTTCAGCAGTGCAGCTGAAAAGAACAGCTCACTGTTCTTTTTAATGTTGCACTCTCTGCACGCTGATTGATGTACAGTGAAAGCGGCTAATGTTCGTTTCTACCAACCGTAGTTGATTTAACCGACTGGTTATTCCATCGGAATGGACCAATCGTCTTTAACCATTCTAATTAACGACAAATGTGATTGGTCAATTCCGTTGGAATAACCAATCAGTTAAGTTAACCAAGATTGGTAGAAATGAGCATAAAAAGAACAGATCTTTGACGTTTGTTACTTAGTCTTGTTTTGATACCATTAGACGCTAAGCAGGACGTTAAGTAAAAATGCCGATCGATCAAAAACGCATTAATGGGCCGGAGGCTTCCGTTCCATACGATATTTATATCCACTCTGAAGAGAAAGACGATGAAATACAACTTGATACTTCGAAAAGATACGACGGTCGCTTAAATAATCAACTTAGAGATATATGTAAGAATACAATCGAGGTTATGTTTACCACATAAGAGCCGGTTGTTCCAACTTGGTAAGTTAACTGATAGTTAAATCATATGTTTATCTTTGTTTTTTCTTCAGTTTAGGCAAAGACGGATTTAACAAATTTTCTTATTTAAACGATTAGACAAATAATTTAACTATCAGTTAACTTACCAAGGAGTTGGAACAACCTGCCCTTTGACTATGAACTTAGATTAAAAATGAATCTTTTTGTATCTCTAAAGAAAAATATTTAAGAAATTTTGTCGACAGTTTTAAAAATAGGTGTAATTAGTAAAGCTAAAGGTTCTGCTTACATTGAAATGGGCAATACAAAGGTCATTTGCTCAGTGTTTGATCCCAGGGAAGTACCCAATAAAACTGGCTACTGTGTGCAAGGTGAATTGTACTGCGAATTTAAATTTGCTCCCTTTTCCTATCGCAAACGAAAAATGCATCAACAGGATGCTGAGGAGAAAGAATACAGTTTAGTACTGCAAAGAGCTTTGGAACCAGCAGTGTGTTTAGTATGTATTTTATCATTTTTCTCTTTCTCCTATTCAAAAGTTTTAATATTCTTCCTAAAAACAATATGTGGAACATACAATTATTTTTCAGAGCGAGTTTCCTAACTTTCAAGTAGACATTTATGCAACAGTCCTAGATAATGGAGGATCAGCACTTGCTGCTGCAATAATGGCAGCTAGTTTAGCCTTAGCAGATGCAGGTGTGCCAATGTACAGTTTGGTCACAGCATCCACTATTGTGAGTAGTGATATATATTATGGATGTTAATGAGTAAAATATACTTTATAATAAATATTTTATATATAATAAGTTTAAAAAAATTATTTAACAGGGTGTATATGATAATACATACTTGGTGGATCCAACAGATGAAGAAGAAAGTTTCTGTTGTTCCAAGACTGTGTTAGATGCAAATCCTGACCATGGAATCATAGTGCAAGCAATTCTTTCGCAGCACAATCAGATTTCTGAGATGTTTGTAGTAGGAAGTTTCAATACAGATACCATTATACATTCCATGGATCTTTTGAGTACAGCTCACAAGGATATATGTCCTTTGCTAGAAAAATGTCTCGTGAAGACTATATTTAAAACATTTAAACCAATTGCACAAAGGGATAAGAAATGAAGAAAGATACAGTATTTGCCAGATAACTTTGTATATAAAATTATTAATAAAATAAATTAAGAACTACCAACTCTATTATTCTCTTCTGCTGTCAAAATATATCATAAATTATTAGATCATAAGTAAACATATATAACATAAGATGCTATAAATGCTTATAAATAATAGTAATATAAAATAATCGCTGCTGATACAATGCTCGTTCCTCTCCGATACATGTTATTAATATACAGTATCGATCTATGATTAAACAAAGAGAGCTCACAATAAAAAAAACACTTGATCCTTACATCGTGCTCATTTATCATTCGTACCTACTTATTCTCCGCGCGCGCTGTTTGAACGCTGTCTCACCGAGGATTGTGGTTTTGTCAAAGGAGGAAGAAAGATTCGGAGAAAGAAAGAAACACAAACACACGCTCGCGGCTTTGATAATCCCGAAGAATCGTCGGAGTAACCATTGATGTTGATCGACAACTTTTATTTCGAATTAATGCGCAATTACGCGCGCGAACGTTCTTGAACCGAGCTCGAGGTCGCGCCGCGTCGCGCCACTGTCATCGGCCATTTTGCCGCTTGTGGCGACTATGGCCATCTGACACTACACGCGAATTTTTCTGACGCGGCTGCGAACGGACACGGCAAAACAACAACGCAATTTCGCGGGCGGTAAGCGCGATATCGACCGCTCAGGTTTTCGTATTACATTATCTGTTACATACATTGCGAAACGACCCGTGATTCTGCCGGTCATGCAACGTGCGACAATATCATCAAGAGCGCCCTTGTGTGACTGTCCGTTGCTCGTGTGACGTCTAACCTATGACTCGATTCTGAGGGAGGAACCACGGTCTCCTCGGCAGTGGGTCACAACAACGGTGAGTTCGTCGCGATCCAGCAGCTGATTATGCGCCTCGTGTTCACATGTCGTCCGTGTGTGTCAGAGGAATACGAGCGCGATCACGGTCGGCGACGACGCGCGACGATTCTGAGTAAATAATAATGCACGTCTTCTTTCTCTGAAGACATTAGCGGAGTCAAACTAGCGGCGACTGCGAGGAAAAAATCGGATCGGAGTATATAACCACACGACGCACACACGCAAACGCAGACACCGAACTTCTCCGACGATTGAACGCGTGATTCTTGCTACCTATTACGAAATCCCACGGATCATTGTTGGCGATGCACGACGACGCACATGACGCGCCAAGAACTGCACGGAGCTTTGTTTCGAATGAGGACGAACGATAATCAACGACTCATACAATTAAGTCACTCATCCTCGTCATTTGACATTCAGTGATGTCAGATATGTCACATTGTGTAAGATTACTTGATAGAAATTAAGGCTGTTCTGCACGACTATATGACGTGCTTCACGGCAATTTGGATCAAGCAATAACTTTGTGAGTTCCACTGCTGAAAAAAATACTCTGATACATGTATTAAAGGATAACTAAGATATTTTTGTAAGATAAATCTATGAGGAAAGAGAAAAAGAGCTGAAGAGTAGTAGAACGAGCAATTCATGGTATCTCATATATAATAATATTATGTTTAAGACATTACATAGAAAGAGAAAGAAAGAATTTACAGACCAGACTGTTGAAGTGTATGAAAGCAAGTACTTTTTATAACGTGCCAGTCAACCTCGCGTGAGAAATCGCACGCTATATTAAGTGCCACATATAGCTACGAGTGAGAACTTTGAGAACAATCTGCAATAGTGCCATGTAAAGAAGTATCAAAGATATCAGTCAAGAATAATATTTCATTCACGATATGAAATACTTTGAGAAGAGAGTCTGATCAGAAGGGAGTCTGCTTAATGTTCTGGAATAATCTGTATAATCCTTGAGCAAAATGGATGAAAGGAGAGTAGCAGATTATTTTGTTATTGCCGGTCTGCCTGGTCAAGATGACTATCCAAATCAAGATAATGAGAATGACAATGAGACCAGTGGCGAACTGAAGGACTGGTGCCAGGAAGGTACACATCTCAAGGCGGATGCACAAACAGCACCTCCCATCACAGATCTTGCTGTAATATTCCCTGCACTAGGAGAACACTGTCCAGAAGGATATTTATTGTTGGAACAAACTGTATCAGGTTTTCCGGCTGACTTAAATCATGGAAGCTTACGAACAAATGAATGTTACTTGTGCTACAGAAGAGGACGAGATAAGCCTCCTCTAGTTGATATTGGTAAGAGGTATAATTGTCTTAATTTAGATGTAATTAAGTTAATGGATACTTATATTATTTAAACAATATTTTAATTTCCAGGTGTAATATATGATGGAAAGGAACGTATAATGCAGGATGCTGAAATGGTGTTGGAAACCCCTAAAGGCCACGTGGCGAATGTAAACAATTCTACGTCGAAAATTTTTGTAACGTATAGACGAGCGAGTCGAAAGATGCCTTGCAACTCTTTGGTCGTCACGGATATATGCGTCATCTTGACAAACAAAGGAGAGAGCCCACCACATGCATTCTGTGTGATCAATAAGAACCTGAATAAGGGAATGTTGGGCAGCGATGTGTTTTTATGCTATAAGAAGTCCATGAACCGCGCTAATCTGGTGTCGTTTAAGCCAGCAATACTCTACAAATATCCCACAGCCGATTATAATGGTTTTGTCTTTCCGAATTCAGTCGCCATGTTTTGTTTGCCGATGGGCGCGACTATAGAATGTTGGCCTAAAGTAGCATGTAAACCTAAGCCAGTATTCTCGACTTTTGTCTTGACGGTCGCCGATGCTGCTCAAAAAATATATGGTTCAGCAATAACATTCTATGAGGAGCTACAACTAGAGACGGACATTCCGAATTGCAAAGACAATCAAGAGATCATGGACACGGTTGACGAGAATAATAAAAACAGTGGTATAAATGTATTTCATAATCCTATAATTTCATAATTTTTAATTGTTAATTATATTAAGTGAAGTATTTTATAATTCCACTCTGATATATATCTCTTGTTTCATTTCAGCAGATAATATAGAGATAACCAAGAATAAGCCACAGGTAAAGATGAAAATGTTGAAAAAATCCGGTATACTGAAGAAGCTTACGATACCACAGTTCGAGAAGCTTCAGTACACAGATCCCGCGAGCCAATCTTTGAACATCAGCAAGTCCATATGCATATTATCACATTGGCCATTCTTTGATACGTTCGAAAGGTTTCTGGTTTTCCTGCACAGCATGGTCAACGACAAGCCGCAAAATGTCCCGATTGAAAAATACATTTCATATTTTTTATGTGACATACCGTTTCCAAGCCCGCAGCGGCCACGGATCTTGGTGCAGCTCAGCAGTCAAGATCGATTGATCTTGACTCAACCGGAAGATCTGGCTCTACCCAGATCGGGCGCGAGTTTCCGACAACTGCTGGTAAACCTCGGACCCGATAATTGTTTGTTAATATTGTTACTTATATTAACTGAACAGAAGATACTGGTCCATTCCTTGCGGCCGGATGTACTTACCTCAGTGAGCGAGGCTATCGCCATGATTCTATTTCCTTTTAAATGGCAGTGTCCTTATATACCATTATGTCCTCTGGGATTAGCGGAGGTAATATATAATGCATAATTTATTTTGTTTTTATGTTCTTTAATAACCGTATATAAAACAATAAGCACGCAAAAAGTGGAGCAGGCTGACTGCTAAAGTTAAAAATTGTAGGTGTTGCATGCACCATTACCATTCCTAATCGGAGTAGATTCAAGATTCTTTGATCTGTTCGAACTCCCCAGCGATGTTAATTGTGTGAATTTGGATACAAACAATATAGCAATATGCGATGATAAAAAATACTTGAACGTAAAATTGCTACCCAAAAAGGCAGCTAGACAACTTCGAAATTGGCTGGAACTTCTGTCTTCAAAAATTATTTTATGGGGGAAAACTAATTGCTCGCAAAAAGGTATGTTGTTACCAGTTATTCCCAGTTTGTCCTCAATTTGTTTTGCCTTTTTCATTCTCATTTTTATTATTAATATCATTTTGTTGCATATCAGATAGAGGAGACGAAGACTTTAGTGTGGACAAGGAGTTTCAACAGAAACGAAAAGAGCAAGCTTTAGATCTCGAGATACAAGATGCTTTCTTGAGGTTTATGGCGACGATCCTCAAAGGATATCGAAGCTATTTGTTGCCGATCACGAAGGCACCTACTGTGGGGACAACAGATCCGACAAGTTTGTTTAATATCCAAGCGTTTCTAAGAAGTCGTGATAAGGCTCACGCTAAATTTTACAGTATGCTTGTCAGAACCCAAATGTTTATTAGGTAAATTAGCTTATATTTTCTCGTTGACTTTTTTCTTTAAAATTCTAACTTTCGTTTTAATGGGGATATTTAAATTTTATAGGTTCATAGAAGAGAGAAGTTTCGTATCCGATATGGACATGGCAGGGTTAGCATTTTTTGACGAGTGTACAGAACGAGTCGAGGAAGAGAATGGTACGAATTGTTTAATATTCTTCTGTAAAGTCTATTCTTTCAATCCATATAACTTATATGTTCTTTTATTTCCTATATTTTCGATATTTTTTTATTTTTATATAATGAGAATGAGAATAAATTTTTCTTTGTTTCAAGAATCTAAATGTCATGTAAATATATATACATTGTAAACTAATTTCTCATTTCTTATCTGATCTTTAGTAACTCTTCTGGAACTGGATGAATCTCAACACAGTGAACGTACAGTATTTATACCACCACCTGAAGCAGGGACAAATGAAGCACCAATAGTATACAAGTCGTTCAAATTGAATCCAGATTTAATGAGGCCTCAGAAGAACTTTTGTTTAAAAAATCCATCTTTAAGTGCCTTTGGTATGGTACCTGGGAGTCCTATGGCTCGTAGAACAAAGCATGAAATCAAAGTTGCTCAAAGAATGGCCCGAAAACAGGTAGACGAGACAATGTCACTGTCTAAAATATTTTATTCGAGCAATTCAGTATACATAATTTCTGTTCTTATGCTTGTTCAGGCTGCTATGCCCGACAGGTGGGGCAGATGTCTGCTAGGTACATGTTATAGTCTTTGGTTTCTACATTTGCCAGCTATGTTGCAAGTCTCTAGCCAGCCTGCTGCAATTTTACATCAAGCTTACGAACTATTAGTCAAGATGCAAAAATTACGCCTTGACCCTATGGAGGAGGTATGAACTGGGCATTGCTAGATGTTGCTCAACAAACTAAATCGCTATATATGAAGAAAACTGATGAAAGTTTAAACGAATGGTCGTTATTCCAGGTGTGCTATAGAGCTATGATGCAACTTTGTGGTGTGTACGGGCAGCCGGTTTTAGCTGTAAAATTGTTATTCCATATGAAACGTAGCGGTGTCCAGCCTAACGCTTTAACATACGGATTTTACAATAAGGTGGGTTGTAAAATATTTCCTAAACTGATAATATTGTATTCAACTTTGGACAAATGTATAGACTCATTATAGAAGTGTAAACAATTCTAGTTCTATCATATTAACCCTTTGAGCCACGAATTTTTCTTTTTAACCGATTTCTATTCTAAAACTTTGTATCCTCGGGTTTTCTGGATCGCTGATTACGAATCCGTTATTAGATTTCCGAAATTCAAAATGGCGAATTCAATTTGGTGAACGTAAAATTCAAAATTTAATCAATTTCCGTGAAACTAGGTATCTACGGATTTTTAATGTCGCTGATTACAAATCCGTTGTCAGATTTTTGAAATTCAAAATAGCATAGAAATTTGAATTTTTTTTAATTCTCGCTTCGCTATATTGAATCAGCTATCGTGAATTTTGAAAATCTGATGATGGATTCATAATTAGCGATCCAAAAACCCCTCAATACCAATTTTTCTAGAAATTGAAGTTTTTTTAAGTTTTCCGTCCGACATCTTGAATTTTGAAAATCTGACGGACTCGTAATTAACGACCGAAGAAAACCCTGGATATCTAGTTTCACGGAAATTGGTTGGATTTTTAATTTTATGTCCGCCATATTGCATCCGCCATTTTGAATTTCTAAAATCCGACAGATTCGTAATCAGTGCCCCAAAAAAATCCCTGCGTATCAATTCCCAGATAAAAATAGTTAATTCTTCGCCTTGCCATACATTTATTTTTAAAAACATTTTATTGTGTTTATTTATTTACTATTAATAATATTAATAATAATAAATTTAAAGAATTTATAAGTAATCATAATGATTTTACACTAGTTAGGGTCTTAAGAAGCTAGAAAATATAATTGCTATGAAATAGATCATTAAAATTGCTCATAAAATATAAAAAACTGACGGAATATAAGTGGGTCTCTGGGTGTCTGCCTGCGCCACAAAGGATTAAAGAAGATGTAATTTCTATCTCATGTTAACAGGCTGTTCTCGAAGCAACATGGCCTTCGGATATGACGAATTCGAGTCAGCTGATGTGGAACAAGTTGCGAAACGTCATCGTGGGTGCAGCTTTGTTTAAGAAAGCTGGCAAGAAGAGCGCCAGGAGGCGATTGAGCTCTAATGTGGATTTTCTGATTACTGATAAGACTGATGGCATGGAGCATGCACTCTCCCGGTCTAGTCTGGACAGTTCTCATTCTCAGGATACCGAAGCCGCGCATAGTGATTGTAAGTTGAGTTTTACGTATATATCTTCTCATCAAGTCGTAATGCTCCTCTTAAAAGAAAAAGAAAAGAATAATATCCTTTCTCTTCCGGCAGCCACCAAAGGTAGTTCTGTGTCTGATCTACCTGGATTTGGGTCGTTCGAATTGAAAACCAAGCTTCTTCGACAGAATAGCATAGTTAAAGATCAAGCTACGTTAAACATGTTGCAAACGGACGAATTGAATCCGCCGCCCAATAATCCAAGGTATCTTCCATGTTTATTGTTAGGATTAGTTAGTGTCGCTCTCAAGCCCTCAAGTTCGCCTAAATCGCTGAGAACGCTTGTTCTATAGATTAAGACATTATTGTTTCATTAGTATGTTACAGTAGCCGATGCAAGTCGAGTATTCATCGTGTAGATACTATTTTCGGTCCATTATCATATTACAAAAAGTCTTTCTTTCTCCACCTCGTCCCCTCATCCTTCCCTCCATCCCTCCCTCCCTCCCTTCTTCCTTCCCTCCCTCCCTCCCTTCTTCCTTCCCCCCTCTCTCCCTCCCCCCCCCCCTCTCTCTCTCTCTCTCTCTCTCTCTCTCTCTCTCTCTCTCTCTCTCTCCTCTCTCTCTCCCTCTCTCTCTCCCTCTCTCTCTCCCTCTCTCTCTCCCTCTCTCTCTCCCTCTCTCTCTCCCTCTCTCTCTCCCTCTCTCTCTCCCTCTCTCTCTCCCTCTCTCTCTCCCTCTCTCTCTCCCTCTCTCTCTCCCTCTCTCTCTCCCCTCTCTCTCCCCTCTCTCTCTCCCTCTCTCTCTCCCTCTCTCTCTCCCTCTCTCTCTCCCTCTCTCTCTCCTCTCTCTCTCCCTCTCTCTCTCCCTCTCTCTCTCCCTCTCTCTCTCCCTCTCTCTCTCCCTCTCTCTCTCCCTCTCTCTCTCCCTCTCTCTCTCCCTCTCTCTCTCCCTCTCTCTCTCCCTCTCTCTCTCCCTCTCTCCTCTCTCTCTCTCCCTCTCTCTCTCTCCCTCTCTCTCTCTCCCTCTCTCTCTCCCTCTCTCTCTCCCTCTCTCTCTCCCTCTCTCTCTCCCTCTCTCTCTCCCTCTCTCTCTCCCTCTCTCTCTCCCTCTCTCTCTCCCTCTCTCTCTCCCTCTCTCTCTCCCTCTCTCTCTCCCTCTCTCTCTCCCTCTCTCTCTCCCTCTCTCTCTCCCTCTCTCTCTCCCTCTCTCTCTCCCTCTCTCTCTCCCTCTCTCTCTCCCTCTCTCTCTCCCTCTCTCTCTCCCTCTCTCTCTCCCTCTCTCTCTCCCTCTCTCTCTCTCCTCTCCCTCTCTCTCTCCCTCTCTCTCTCCCTCTCTCTCTCCCTCTCTCTCTCCCTCTCTCTCTCCCTCTCTCTCTCCCTCTCTCTCTCCCTCTCTCTCTCCCTCTCTCTCTCCCTCTCTCTCTCTCTCTCTCTCTCTCTCTCTCTCTCTCTCTCTCTCTCTCTCTACGCAATAATCTGCGTCTCGTATTGAATTCTACAGTGCTAATTTTTTGCATGTACAGGCTTATGTAGATGTAATATTTTCTATGTAGGCTAACGCGCAGTGTTGAATCACCATTAAAAAGTCCCATACGCACACCAGTCACGGAAAATGACCCATTGGGTGCTCTCATTAATGACGAAACACCGATTGTGTCACCTTCCGAGGAAAATGACTCGAATTGCTCAACAAGTACTTTAACCGTTTTAAATAATACGACTGAAGAGAGACCAGGAGGGCCGCTCTTATTTAGAAGGTATGACATTCTCCGTATATACTCTGTATCTGCATGCGAGACTTCAGATACGAAGATACATATTTCAGTTGAGAGAAATGATATATTGCTTAGAAATAGACTAGTATAGAGAGTAAGTTTCGGTAAGTTGTAGAATAATTGGTACTTTTTCGCAAAAATGCAAAAAAATAAGAAAAGAACAGATGTAAGATTCTAATTAATAACCACCTAATGGGAAGCTGTTACTGGTGATCAGAGTAATCACGAGTACTTGCACGCGAGAAAAAATATTTCTTTATGCAGTTGCCGATCACAAGTCGCGTTAATTGTGCTTTTATACGATCCTCGAAGATGATCCGTTCCGTAACACCCCCATGTGCGTGACTTTAAACACGGAAATCGCTCTAATGTTTGCAGCAACATCCTCCCACGTAGTGCGACCTTTCATCAAGCGGTAGATGAAAGTGGCATGACGGTGGGTGGGCATTTGCAGAGGAGTGAGACGATGCCTCACTCTGTGGCACAGCAAGGAGAACAGGAGAGAGAAAAGGAGAGACTGGAAATAAGCAGTCTTTGGTCTCAGAATAAGGATAGTGTTACGTCCAGCCTCTCTAGCTTAGGATCTAGTCTTAAACTTAGTTTCGGGTAAGACTGTATGAGATATTTTCATTCGATTATATGTATGCACATATTGTCCATATTTGAACAATGGATTCTCTGCAGTGTATTGTATTTTAATCCTATCAAAGTGCGATGGCGAGTCTACGAAGCGCGATCGCTTTTTCTTTTGTAAACATGAAAAAAGGGAATACAAGATGTCTCGATATATATTCTCTCTTTAAAAAGAAATATTATTAATATACAAAATTCGGTATGACGATTAAATCATATTTGTCAAATGGTAGCTAGACGTTTGTCATCGCCCTTTTAGTGGGAGAAATAATGTGATTTTGTTTCCACTTATTGTTTTGCATGCGCACTTGAGTTTTTCTCTTACCCATCCCAATACAGACGATATTCCACGGGTGGATTTGCTAAAAATAAGGATTTTATACCATCCAATCAACTTATTGAATCTCTTAGTCTCTCCAGCTACATCAGGTATGTAAATAAACTTAATGTTAGTTACACAGATGTGTGTTCAATTAGATATACGTGTTCTCTCTCTCTCTTTCTCTCTCTCTCTCTTTCTCTCTCTCCTTCCTCTCTCCTCTCCCCCTCTCTCTCACTCATTCTATACGTTTCCTCGTTGTTACAAAAGACTCAGCACGTTTGCAACGTATATGAATGAACTGGCTATTACTTGTTTTTTTTCGATATTCTATGAGGACATAAATCTCTGTTTTAGCCCTTCGAGTTTGACAGGAAAGAAGTCTAACGAGATAATACTCGGCGGTCTAAACAGCTTGAAATCCGCCGCAACGACTGTTGTGAAAAAATTCGACGAGATTAAGGAAGCTATTTCAGCGACGAGCACGCCAGTAAAGATTAAAGAACGTGAACAAAAGCTGGCTTATGGGGTATCTCATGAATCTCTAGATTCGCTCACCGACGGATCCTTGCAAGATCGAAATGAAGTCTTCCCATCCCTAGCCAGGCCATCAGGTATCAATCAGTAGCAAAGAGACTGCAATGTTTATCTCACTATAAGTTTCAGGCTAATAAACGTGTAAGTTTCTTCTAAAAGTGGAAATATAAAAAATGGAAAGTTTCACGTGAAACTTTTTACGTTACCGCTTCTAGGGAAAAGTTATATAATCATCGCTCAACATGTATCCGGGGTATTACATTAGGAAAATTAATCTTTTGAGTATTACTAAACATCAAATTCTCTTATTGAATACGAACATCCATGCGAAACTCCTTGAGAAAAACAATGTTGCAACTTTTCTATTTGATTATAATATAGATTACGAACAATAGAAATGATACGTTTATGCGATAGTTTTCTCTCTTTTCTGATGGTCTCTTCTCGGTCCCAACAGGTGACGGGAACTTAGATCTATGTTCGTTGTACGAGCTGGCGGAATGCTTATATCCAAAAGGCACTAGAGAATTGGAAGAACGTCTTGCCATCGAGCTTGTGCTTTCCAGCGCCAGCAAATGCCATCATTGCGCTGCCATCCTGTACGACGAAGAGATAATGGCTGGTTGGCAGCCAGAAGATTCCAACTTGAACACGGTTTGCCAGTATTGCGACAAGGCTACAGTACCTCTCCTCACAGTTACCATATTGGATTACAGGTAACAAAGACGAGACTGTGTCATATACATAGACTATTTTCGAAAGTTAAAAACACATTCGTTCACGCAGATGCGAAGCGAGTGGAAAGACCAATGATCCTCTGATGGGAGCATTGGTAGAGTTGTTGGATCAACCGAAAGAATCGTTAGAGCCAATAACTGTGCCGTATCTGAATCCATTGGTACTGAGAAAGGAACTGGAGAGCGTGTTGAGTCAGGAGGGCGACGCCTGCCTCACAAAACACAAGTTCATCCAGGAGCATCCGATAGTCTATTGGAATCTGATATGGTACTTCGAAAGGATCAACTTGACCAGTCATCTGCCTGATCTCTGGCTGAACGGCGATAAAAACACGGAACTGCAAAGGGTTGTGGGATCGGTGGGTGTCAGAACCATGTGGGACAATGAACGACTGCACATGGATCGTTTACCCATGTACCTTCAATGGAAACTGAATTCTACGGAGGATAGAACGTGAGTTTTTTCATATATTCTTACATGCTAGTTAGATTTACTTGGATTTTACACATTTTAGTTAGCATAATATTTATTTTATATATTAATATATATTAATGCATTCAACTATACATATTAGTATAAATATAAAATAAATATTTGATAATGATTTTTGTTTAATAAATGATAAACGACACAGGCCAGGAGTGTTATTCACCATTTATTTATAAGATAACTTCGAATGGTGAAGCTATTATTAATTGAACAACATTATGTTTTTATGTGTACATAAAAACATACGCCAAACATTTAACAATCGATAATCGTATTGTCATGTTAATATCGCACTTATTTCAGACTGATGCAAACAGTAATAACGTACGTCCGTTGCAATGACTTAGCGGAACCTATAGTAAGAGTGGCCTTAGAAAGAAGTAAACATCAAACAGACGATCATCCGTTTTCTATATACAGAGATATCCTATTCTTGGCATTTACGGTATTAGGCAGAACAAATATTGACCAAGGTAGGCAAGTCATGTAATCAAACGGTTGAATGATAATTTACATAAACTTAGAATAATTAAGATTAAAGGAAGATTATTAGTTATAAAAAGATTAAGATTAGTTATAAAAAGATTAAGATTAAAAGAAGATCAATAATTGCGCAACCTCGAAAAGATTAAGATTAAAAGAAGATTAAGATCAAGAAAAAATTTTTCATATCGGACATTCTGAGAAATATGATAAAATTACATTACTAATATCAACGCTCATTTTACAGGTGTATTCGATAGGGAATATAGTTTATCGTTGGAAAAGTTCTCGGAAAATGAGGAGAAATTATTGCATAAGATCGACACACCACCAACGACGATGTCGGTGTATTGCAGGCATTACTTCAAGCAGCTGAACGTGTGAGAGGAACGCTCGAATCCCGAAGAAACTCACGCGACAAGCAGGAGAAAAAACTCCTCTTGAGTTTCTGAGACATTGGAGGAAGTGCGCGAATAGTGAACGAATACTCCCTCACGTGACTACGACTCTCTAGAGCTTCATCTTTGTGATCGAATCGAAGTTTGCGCGAGGGAGAACGCACGTTATTATGATGACGATGATCAGAGCGCGTTCCATCGCGTCCCGAAACCGCGTACGATTGTAACATGTCATTATGTCAACGTGGTGACACAATGTCCGCTACATGTTAAATGTTTATTATTATCTAACACGGTTGATTATTATTAATGTTATCATGATGATTTTTACGCTCGAGTCCGGTCTAAAAGGATTGCTTGCAGCGAATGAAAAGAGAAAGAAAACGATCGACATCGTAGTGTCAGCGGATCGACGATAGTGAACTAAACTAACGTGTATTTCATTCTCGTTCCCTCATGAAACTCTGCTTAACTCGCTGATATAGAGATATTTGTCTCTTGCTTGCGCAAACACTTGGTCGGATCACCGGATTCGGCGAGCTTCGGTTCTATAAAATTCTCGTACTTCGATCGCGCGCTGCGAAAGAACTGACGAAATCGCGAGAGAGTAGCTATTAGGAATCGGTTGAGTCGACAATACATATGATGCTGATCGGTCGGCGCCGCCGATCCCACGAAAAATGTCAGATCGATGCAATAAGAGAAAGAGAGAGAGAGAGAGAGATAGAGAAAGAGTTGAACGATAATAATTCCTGAACTAAAATCGTACCATCTCTGATCTTCATATGTTTATATTGTAATTTGTTTTTAACTTGGAGTTATATCGATTTGTCTTATTTTTGCAAATTTGAGTCGCGCGTGCCTCTTGACTTGTGATTCAATGACTCGCGCATCGCATTAGCAGTATCTAAGAGTACAACGTTGAAAAATGTGTCGAGTACCAAAGAACTTTACGGGACTGTCGAGCAATTGCAAGTTCAATTCCCTCCAGGTGTGCTGTGACCTTTAAATACGTTTCAGTTCGACACGTAATTATCCATAATGTAAAGAAAGAAAAGAGAGAAAAGGAGAGGGAGAGAGAGAAAGTGATGAAATGAAAAAGACGTAAAAGAAGAAAGGCTGTCGTGTATAATGTTGAAGACAGCGTTTATATGCCAACTATTTTTTTTACCGTAATGAGAGAAAAAAGAAAGCGGAAGCGAGATATCATGCGCGTGACATGACGAAACGCAGTATTCTTTCCTTGTACTCTTAGATAGAAACGATCGTTAATTGCACGACCAATATACATATACACGCGCGGTCAGACAACGGACACAGAACGTAAATAGATACAGTTTATCTAATGTCCTAGGTGAAAAGTGTCCTTTTATGGGCGTACGGCGTCGGAACTCGACTACTTATATATCCTAAAAGCAAATACTTAATGAGAGAGTGAATATTTTTATGAATTTTAGACGTTCGAGACATTTGTAAAGTTATTAGCGGACTTAGTTAGATATGACGCTATCCACGATTTATTCTTCGTCAAAACGAGATAATAATAATAATGACGACGACGAGATCCTATTCATTGTGCAAGAAAAGACTCATAATCCGCGCGGATTACTCGGTGTACTGTGTGCACTTTTCACCCTGGACACCCGCGGATGAATGTATGTTCATTCATTACAATATTATCAATGTAGGTTATAAAAAATAAAGTCAGTTGAGGTATTTTACAGAAGAGACTCGTTTCATTTTAGATTGTTAAATGTGCAACCTACTACTCCAAGATGGATTTAATAATACGCACGTATCTCATTTACAGTTACTTTTGTAATTTTACTTGAAGAGGAAGGATCTTCATATTGTATGTATATTATGCAAGTTTCATTTTTTCTTATTTTTGGCTATATTAATTTTGCTTACTATCAAATTAGTGTTGTATCTCATGATAAATTTGGTAATTATTTAGAAGACGGGCCTTACCTTGGATTTCGCCCAAACTCACCTATCTTGTGTATTTTGACGTGTAGAAGCCGAATCTGCAAGTAAAAATGGTCGCTCGGCTCTAGTTTGCAAGAAATAAATAATAATAAATAAGTTAAAAAGTGACACATGCGAGGTTAGGAAATCTGTCATGTCGGTAATACACAGACTTATGGATATAACTTTCAAGGCGCCACGAGAACGAGGAGGGTGCAGGAGGGGAATATGTAACAAATGAAAAGTCTCAAACATGTATATACATGCAGTATCAACATATGTACACACACACACCGGGGAGTGCAAGGGGGGCCTTCGTTGAAAAAACGTTGAAAGTTATAGCAACTTTCCACGTGCAACGAGGACGGGGAAGGTGCGGAAGGGGGCCGAAGATCCCCCTTGCGCCCCCCGTGTATGTGTGTGTGTGTGTATACACATATATTGGTACTGCATGTATACATATGTTTGAGACATTTTCATATATTAAACATATGAATTTTTAGCTCATGTATCAGTGGTTATTTTTGTTATGTAATAACCACTGATACATGAGCTAAAAATTCATATGTTTAATATATGAAAATGTCTTTGGGGAGAAGGCTTCGCCCCTCCTCAACATATACTATTTTACACTTTTCGACTAAAAAGAACAGACCATAAGTCTCTGTATTACCGACATGACAGATTTCCTAACCTCGCACACAGAGAAGAATGAGAGCGGCCACCGACCGTATTTCGGGGGATACGGCTAGGCGCATTTTAGTACGCCATCTGACCAAAATGCGCCTAAACTACATTCGCTAGGCGCACTTTCGCGGTGATAAAAGTAAAATGCGCCTAGGTTCGTGTCCGTACTACTTTCATGCAATGGATAGTAGATTAGAAAAAGACAGACGACAGACAATCGTTCCGTCTTTGTCTCACTACTGAGCGGCGCGCGGCAGTAAACACGAGGCGAGGTAGCGGCGATCTTATCGCTAAGCGAACATCTCTCCGCTTTTCTTTCATCTTTCACGCTCCAGAGACATCAAAAGACGCGGTAGCGTCTCGTGTCAAGGGAACGTGCGAAGCGAGGAATTATTTTTCACGCACGCGAGGTAGCACATGGGAGACTAGACGAGCGTCGACATATTATCTGTTTCTTTCCCGCTCGTCTAGTTTATTGACTGCGTGAGCCGCGAGATTTTTCTCGCTACTCCTATACCTCGCTCTTTCTCTCTCTCTCTCGCTCGTTCTTTCTCTCTCTCGCGCACTTGCTCGCTCTTCCTCTCTTCTCGTGTTCTTATGGCTTGATTAAATATATTAATTACATGACAATATACAGGGTGTTTGATAGCTGATCATGCAGACGAAAGTTGGAGATAGATTGGGAGTAGCCGAGAAGAAAAGTCATATACCACAATGTCAAATTGCCAATAGTTATCGAGTTATTAATTAAAACATGTGAGCCAACGAGCGCGTAGAGAGCGGAGGGCGACCGCAGTAAGCACATAGACATTTGATATAGGCGGAGTCAGCGAGTGTCGGTAGGCGAGCGCGCGCGGCGAGGGGCAACGTAAACAACAAGAGGCGAACGCGCGCGACGAGGAGCGAGCGAGCGCAAGCGACAAGAGGCGAGCGAGCGCGACGAGGAGCGAGCGAGCTTTTTCTTTATAGCTTTTTCCTTATAGCTCGCTCGCTCCTCGTCGTTCGCGCTCGCTCGCTCCTCGTCGCGCTCGCTCGCCTCTTGTCGCTTGTGCTCGCTCACTCCTCGTCGTTCGCGCTCGCTCGCTCCTCGTCGCGCGCGTTCGCCTCTTGTTGTTTACGTTGCCCCTCGCCGCGCGCGCTCGCCTACCGACACTCGCTGACTCCGCCTATATCAAATGTCTATGTGCTTACTGCGGTCGCCCTCCGCTCTCTACGCGCTCGTTGGCTCACATGTTTTAATTAATAACTCGATAACTATTGGCAATTTGACATTGTGGTATATGACTTTTCTTTTCGGCTACACCCAATCTATCTCCAATTTTCGTCTGCATGATCAGCTATCAAACACCCTGTATATATATAAATAAATGACACATATATAGTGTATATGTATATAAAGAATATTTAGTATTAATGCACAAATAAAGAAGAGAGAATTATAATGAGAGACGAAAAGTTAATAGAAATCCACTCTTAGCCAATATATACATCTTTTAAAAATGATTTGTTATTAAAGTATATGACAGAATAATTTATTTATGCTAATAAATTTAAATTAAAAATTAAATGAAATGTTATTTGTTTTGTAAAAGATATTCCATTGTTACATTTTTCTTTTCGTAGCAAAAATAAATTTAGTCTAGTAAAAGAAGAAATTAGTTTTATCATATTTCAATTACGACTTTATTATTTAATTTTACGAATAGATAACGTGCATATTGTTGCTCAACGGAAACCGCGAGAAAATGGTGATCTCCGTCAAAAAATAAATGCAAACTTTTTAATAATATAATAATTTTTTTACGTAAGTGTTTGTTTTTATAATATAACCTGTTGAATTTTATTAATTATTAATTCAGCATGTTATAGTATAAAAAATATATTTTAATATAAAAATTAATGTAATATTAATTGTTTGCATTTGCAAGAAATATGGATAGAACAGGAGAGGTTGCAATGATACATAGGAAGAAAAAAGATAGATGGATAAATAGATAGATAGATAGATAGATATAGAGATAGATATAGATGGATAAATAGATAGACAGATAGATAGATAGATAAATAGATAGATGGATAGATAGATATAGAGAAATAGATAGATAGTTAGATAGTATAGAAAAAAAGATAAATAGAAATATAATTATCATTATTATTATTATTAATGTTTTCAGTTTCAAGAGAACATTCGCTTAAACGTAAGTCTTACTTAGGTCCAGTTACGAGTGTTAACACTTGTAAAGTCAGTCGAATTTTAAACATCTCGTAGAAACAAGTGCCTCAACTCATCAATATAAATGTAGAGGAAAGTAACCGAACAGCCAAAAACCTCCTCCAAAAAAGCGATAAGATCGCTGCTACCTCGCCTCGTGTTTACTGCGCGCGCCGCTCAGTAGTGAGACAAAGACGGAACGATTGTCTGTCGTCTGTCTTTTTCTAATCTATTATCCATTGCATGGAAGTAGTACGGACACGAACCTAGGCACATTTTACTTTTATCGCCGCGAAAGTGCGCCTAACGGACGTAGTTTAGGCGTATTTTGGTCAGATGGCGTATCTAAAATGCGCCTAACCGTATCCCCCGAAATACGGCCGGTGGCCGCTCTCATTCTTCTCTCTGCCTCGCATGTGTCACTTTTTAACTATTTATTTCCCGCAAACTAGAGCCGAGCGACTATTTTTACTTGCAGATTCGGCTTCTACCATAGACATATAATATATAGACCGCGCATTCGCAACGTTTCCTTTGTCTGCACATGTTCAATATTAGAAAGAGGTAGCATGTTTTCGTAGAGCAGTCTATCTCTTTCTAACGATGCGTGGTGAAGTATTTGGCCCCTCCGCCTGTTTAGAGTGGAATGTTATGTCTCTGGTTCTTCTTCTTTTCGTGAAACAAAGCGTATGTAAACAAAACGATTGACATTAAAGATTATAAAACGTATTTACTCATAATAGTATAATCATAACATAAAAAGTATAATCGTGACACAATGAGTCTATATTGTTGTGTATGCCGCAGTAATGTATATAAAAGTGACAGATTATTTTCCACCGGTATGTAATTACACCCATCGTCATATGTCCATATTCATCATTTTTCCATACAACATCGTCATTTTTCCATATGCGTGTATTTATATCAGACGTATTTTCTTCTCTTCGTCTTTCACAATTCCCCTTTCTCTATATTCTCCTACTTCTGTTTTCCCTGTCACGGAAGACTGCTTTACCCCCATCACGCATCGTTAGAAAGTGATAGATTGCTCAACGAAAGCATGTTGTCTTTCGAATATAAAACGCCCCCTCCGCTGAACGCGCGGTCTATTTATTATACGTTTATGGCTTCTACACGTCAAAATATACAAGATAGGTGAGTTTAAGCGAAATCCAAGGTGAGGCCCGTCTTCTAAATAATTACCATAAATTTTTTAATAATCCGTTTTTCAAATACTATGATATTTATTCCCTCTATGTTACAGTTACTAATACTAAAATTAAAGAATTAAAGAAGCAACATGCGAGTTTCTCGTCTTTTTATTAAAATTATATAAAATTATTGTTAATATGTGACAACTATGTATATTCATAACATCATCATATGTGCTGTGTATTGATTCGGCACCGTCAGAGTCAATATTCTTATAATCTTCTTCATTTTACTCTAACATCTGCCAATTATCATCAGACTCGCTGCTAGAGTCGACATCATTCATATCAAGAGCATCGTCTGATGAGTCTACAAATGTTTTGGACAATGTAATTTAACATTACTTTGAGTTTAATTAAATTTTTTGATCAAGATTATATATGCATGAAGGAAAAAACAAATACCTCAATATATTAATCTACTGGATCCCGATAAATAAGCAAGGCATCCTGGGTTACAAACATGTTATCATCTTCATTGGTCTGAGATATCAGTCCTGTCACGAGATAACTCTTCCCTTTAATCTCTGTGCATCTATAAGAAGCTTCAATTTGGTGTCAATAAAATTGAGAAGAGGATTGAGTGTCTCCGTCACATCTGGTCGTGATAATAAATATGCTGCATGAACTGTGACTACGGTTTGCAGCCATTTTACTGCAACTTTGCACCTGAAATACACAAATTGATTTTAATCCACTAGAGAGTCTATAGACTTATAGAGATAGATTGTGCGTCCAATGAGAGGACTTGAGGAAAACATTAAAGTGAGAGGATCGATAGCTGAGTGAGTGTATCTCTGTCTAACATGTGTCTTGGTGAGGGAAGCCAAAGAAGTGAAGAAGAGTTGGAGAGTTGTATGAGCAGTACTAATGGTACTAAAGTTATGATTTGCATGTCAAATTGTTGATTGTTTATTTTTAAATAAAATTTATTGTTCTTGTAATACACATATTCAAAATCTACTTTATTATCAGTTCAATTATATTTATAGAACTATATTATATATATCATATATAATTATATTTTATATATTCTTTGATATTAAAGTTATAAAACACAAAAATATTACTTTAAAAAATGTAGTTTCATCGTTAAATATAATTAATAAATAATTTTACATGGAAATACAAACAAAAAACAATTCTTTATTGGCAGGGCTTGAACTGTTACAACTATTATCCAAAAAATGGAATAGGACAGAGAAACTCTTCGAAACATTTGTAGCAGTCGCTGGACCGCACGGCGCACACAACGTTATGGGAAAGGGCAAGAGCACAGTACCGCGATTCTGTAACTCGTTATTGGAGTTAACGACACTTTCGTTATTGTTGCGCAGCTTTTCTACGGTATACAAAAGCTGCGCAACGATAACGAAAGTGTCGTTAACTCCAATAAGGAGTTACAGAATCGCACCACTGGGACCCTATTCTTGAACTACTTGCGTATACGTAAGTGGCAAGTTTCGACTAATCGCAATGGAAAATCCCTAGAACCATATTCTTGACAGTCGCAAGTGAAACGTACACGCAAATTATCATTCGCAATGCAACGAATGGGTAATACCATCCGTTTCTCTCGAAATGTATGTGATACGTTATGCAAAGTACAGAAAGTGGAGTACACATAGAAGCACACTGTTATTAAGAAGAAGAAGAATTCAACGCTAAGACGGCTAAAAGAGTGGAAAATAATAGCTGACTTTACATAAGAGAAATAATAAATACGAGATTTAAGAGAAAATAGCATATAAATTTCACTGCGTTTTAATTATAGAGTAAAATTGTGTAACTGTGTAACTGTGTAACAATAAATGGATTTAGACGATATAATAGTAAACGTACCAGTTATAAATGCGTTAGAACATGTTGAAATAATGGAAGAACCTAGAAGATTTTTCCATATTAGTTCCTTATTTTCCACTTTGTTCTGCTGAACGCAGCTAATTAAAGTTCGTCGTATCGTATTTTTTATCGATATTTGCAGAAAGTACATGTTTTCCAATGTTGTCAAACGTAATTAAACGCAACGGAAAGCGTATAAGTTTCTAGTTGCGAATACTACACAATTAAGTTCAAGAATACCGTGTCAGAAACGTATGCGCATTTTTACTATTCGCAACGTGCGTATACGTAAAGTTGCGTATAGATTCAAGAATAGGGCCCCAGGCTTTTGCGTAACGCATAATACATAACGCATAAGAGAATAAACCAATTAGTTTTCTTCATTTCCCTCTTCAGGATAGAAATGAAGAACTCTGATTGGTTGATTCTTTTATGCGTTATGTATTATGCGTTATGCAGAAGTCTGTGCTCTAGCCTTAAAGGCCTATCCAGACAAACTTGCATAAGCGCGTAACGCATATGCATAAGGAAATTAATCAATTATGATCCGTGTAGTAAAAAAATATTTTTTGTATTAAACATACGATTAGTCAATTTCCTTATGCATATGCGTTACGCGCTTATGCAAGTTTGTCTGGATAGGCCTTAAGAGCACAGGCTTTTGCATAACACATAACATATAAGAGAATAAACCAATTAGTTTTCTTCATTTCCCTCCTCAGGACAGAAATGAAGAACTCTGATTAGTTGATTCTTTTATGCGTTGTGTATTATGCGTTATGCAGAAGTCTATGCTCTGGCCCTTCAATTGGATTGCATTTCCATTCATCTTCGGAAATGTACCAATCAGAACGCAGTATTTTCATCCAGCAAGCAATCCAGCACGAAAACAAGCACCGTGTGCCGCTGGCTTTACTGTTTACCAATTTTCTGGAAGCTAGAGAATGGCGTATGAGTACACCTTTCTACCTAAAGCCATATACCGAACTGAACTGAACTGAGTTTTCTGGAATAGTAGGAATTTTATATGATAGCAAGTGATCATTTATTTAGCGAGAGAAGTGTTTATTTATAGGTTAATTATAATTGTAAAGACAAAATATAAAAATAAAGCACCTTAAAAAACAATTGTTTTTTTATTTATTAAGAAATGGGTTGTGAGGTCCTTCTGTACAAATATAATCTTTATAGAACATTTCATTAATAAACTGTGACAAGTTCTCAATAACTAACACAAACTGTGACGCTGAAACTATAACAAGTTTTCGATAATTAAAAAATGCAATTACATTTTCTCATAAAAGTTACATATTAATTCTCATACATAAATTATTCATAATTGCTTCCCTTTTGGCTTGTCCACATTCCATTCCCCTATTTATTAATCTCTCTTCAGGAAACTGCTGTTGTTGTTGCTACTGCGCCTACTCAGTTTCATTTAAATCAATCATATCTCTTCTCAGGATACATATGTTATGTAATACACATGTTCCAATCAAATACTCTGAAATCTTCTCCAGAGTAACCATGGATAGACAATCTAATACACTGCGCCATCGAACTTTCCACAGCACGAAAGCTCTTTCAATTGACACTCGAGCTAAAGAGAGGCAGAAGTTGAAGTTCTTTTGTTTATTTGATAAGTGCCCATTATCTTTGAAGGGTACCATAATTTGAGGATGTATCCCATAGGCAGCATCTTCGACTAAATGAGAATCATCGGAGAAATATATATTATGATTGTCAATAAAATTTTTTACTGGAGAAAGTCTTAAGACTCTTGCATCGTGTACTGATCCAGCATATCCTGCTAGAACACTTGTGAATAATAAGTTTTATGTGCATACAGCTTGAAACATATATGAATGGTAAAATATATAATATGATTGATTCATGAATGAGAAAGACAAAAAATCACTATTAAATACTGTTACCTGAATATGAATTGAATGATATCCTTTACGATTGATATATGTTTGATCACCTTGTAACGAGGCACACCTACGCCTCGTTACTACCGGCCCGACCGACCATGGGTGCGTTCCAAAATGCGCATAAAACGCATAGACTGCATTTCTGCTGCACAGCTCTTTGAAATCGTTCCGTTTTATCAATGCACATGAAGCGCTTTAATAATTCGGAACGGTTTCCTACGTATTCTATGCGGTAAAATGGACACCAATCAAAATATCAACATCAAAAACCGAATTCCAATAATTGTAGCTTTGTCAATGTTTTTGAAAAAGAATAATGAAAGTGATAGCTCCGAATCGAACGACAGTGAAAATGAAGATGAAGATATATCTCTAAATGATATACAGACATTGTTTTCTATATTAATGTCAGATAAATGTGCAGAACAAATTGTAATTGAAAAAATTACGGATTACGTCGATCGCGTGATTCCTAATTACACTAATGTTATATTCAAAGAACATTTTAGGTAAATATTTCAATATAAATGTCATTAAGTTAATATTTTTTCTGGTTTTATTAAATTTATTTTATTTATAATTTAACCTATTTAACCTAGAATGTACCCGGCTACATTTGAAATGATTTTATCATTAATTGGGCCAGCATTAAAAGTCACAAATACCACAACTGGTAGAAAATCAATTTCAGCAGAGAAGCAACTATATATTGCTCTATGGTTTATGGCTACTCCTGATTCATATAGATATGTAAAATCCAACAATGTTCTATACTCGTATAACTATTATTACATTTATAACACTTTTTACTAAGCATTGAATGCTATATCGTTAAGTCTATTCTGTAATTCTTAACGACAGTTCAGCATCGATATATTGTTATTGCGCTTTTTTGTTATATATGTTATATGTGCGTAACGACAATATAATGATATCGACACTGTCGTTAAGAATTACAGAACAATTTAATTGACACCATCTCTTGTAGTTAATGCCGAATTTTTGTATCAAAATAAAACACATTGTCGTTATGTAATGTGGCATCAATATGGTTAATAAAAGACGTTTAGATTATTTTGTGACGAGCTTTTCATTATTTACTTTTCTGAACTGTTACAGATCTATTTGTGTCAAATTTGGAGTTGGTAGAGCAATTGCTTTTAGGGCTGTAAGACGTGTTACTTACGCACTTCATTGCATTGCACCTCGATTTATAAAACGGCCCAAGTACACTGTTACCACTGATATTATGGAACATTTTAAAAAAACTTGTGGTTTTCCAAATGTCATTGGTGCTATAGATGGAACACACATTAAAATTCGAGGTCCACCAAATGATACAGCTTCTTATATAAACCGGAAAGGTTTTCCATCCTTAAATGTTCAACTTGTATGTGATTCACATAGCCTCTTTACACACTGTTATGCAGGAGAAGTAGGATCAGTTCACGATGCTCGAGTTTTCATAAATTCTCCAGTAACACGCTTTTTAGAGATGCCTGACATATATTTCCCTAATGATTCCCATATTATCGGAGATGCTGCATATGCAATTCATCCACATCTATTAGTTCCGTTTCGAGACAATGGCCATTTGTCAAATCGACAAAGAAATTTTAATTATTGTCTATCGTCAACAAGAATGGCAATTGAACGTGCGACTGGATAATTAAAAATACGTTTAAGGATATTGTTAGATTGTATACCATTAATAGATGTTAAAAAAATTCCGGAATTTATTATAGCATGCTGCGTGTTACAAAATATTTGTACATTACAAAATGATGTTATGACTGTTGGCGTCCAATATTATGAAGAAGTAGAAGCACTTGTTCGCAATATACTAACGCAATATAATAACACAGAGATGGGAAATGCTAAAAGAGTGAGAATAATGAATGCTTTGGAAATGAAAATTGTTTGATAAGAAAATTTGATGTGTATAAACGCGCTAATGATTTCGGAACGATGTTTACGTTTTCAACACAGGAATACCTTGTCTACAATAGAAGTCATAGAGTCGTAAGTCGTACAATTTACCAATCGCGGTCGATTATTTTTCTCTTACCGGACTATGATTGGTCAATTTCTACGACTTACGACTCTACGACTTCTATTGTAGACGAGGTATAAAGATCTAACAGTAAAGGTGCCAATACATGGGAGCGTCGAGCGTCAAAGCGTCCAACCAATCAAAGTTCCTTGTTTTTATCCGTGAAATAAGAAATAAAAAACTGATTGGTTGGACGCTTTGACGCTCGACGCTCGACGCTCCCATGTATTGGCACCTTAAAGCCCTAAACACAATGCCAGGCAACAGGCAATAAGAATAAAAATAGACCAATCACAATCGACTATTACAAGAATAATCTATTGTGATTGGTCTATTTTTATTCTTATTGCCTGTTGCCTGACATTGTGTTTAGGGCTTAAGGACCAATAGTTACTAAGCGCTCAGTGAGTGCTTTGTTTTCTGAACGCAACCATTGGTATCGTAGTTCATGTGCACGGTTGTGCAGAGGGCGCCTCACACTGGGTTCGGCTAAAGTCACTAGATATATAAAGTACCGCAACTGATGAAGCTAATAGCCGCGTTCAGTAGAACAAAGTGATCAGAGAGCGTTTAGTGATTATTGTCTGTGATTGGAGCATTCTTTTAGATTCTTCATAGACCCAGAAATATTTATCAATCAGGAGCGAAATTCAGTGGTAAATCTAGTAATGTTGTCCAACTGTTGAGCTGCTGAATGCGGCCATTGTATAAGCATTTGGCCCCAAAATGGCGTGGAATAGTGTAGATAGTGCAAAGTTAGTATAATATATTTACACAAAGTGCAGTGTTCCTAACCTATTGTTGTCACCGCTGTGCTTATCTCAGATTCAACTTCTTGCTGTAAGTACTAAAAAGAATGCCAACTTGTTACATCGAGGGATGCAAAAGCCGAAATGAGGAAGGTATCCGCTTATTTCGCATACCAAGAAGTGAAAAAAATAAAGTATGACGCAAAGAATGGATCAGATTGATTGGAAGAAACACATTTCTGCCAGAAAATGTCAAAATTTGCGAGGTAACATTAATGAATCATACACGTGAAAAATTAAATTTCACAATAACAATTATATATATTTCTTATAGCTACATTTTGGTGCGGATCAATTCGAAAGAAAACGAGAAGATGGAAAACGACTGCTTCGTCCATGTGCGAAGCCAAACTTATTAGAGAAACATTTTGAAGACATGATATCTAATCAGGAAAGTACCAGTAATAATACAAATAAAGCAAGATGTAAGTATAACATTAGTGTTATGATACAATAATATACAAATATGAGTTATTCCGATTATTGAAATTGACCTTGTACAACTAAATAATACTATACTATATTTAAATTAATACATTTGTAGGTAAATATGACAATATTTATTTCTATAATAAATATGGAAGATAGTGTTTGTAATATTACAGACACCGATGTAACAACTGCAACACTGATATCAAACAGTTTTCATGACAAAAAGTTCGAAGTATTGAGAAATACTACATGTAATAGTAAAGATTATGAAAACAATATTCAATCTTTACAGAAGGCATTAAAAAGTTCGAGGCAGGAATATAGACGTTTAAAACAGAACTTGCAGACATGAAATAATAAGTATATAATAAGTAATAATATATAATAATATATAATATATAATATATAATAATATATATAATATATAATAATAAGTACGTTCACTAAATTACGACAATATAAAGAAAATATATTACTTTTTCCAACCATGAATTGTATAATGTATAAGTACGAATTATTATTTCGATCCAATGAAATGCATTTAGTCTCAAATAATTTGTTAAATGTTACTGAGTTTATAGACAAATTGTTACACTTGTGTCCAAAAACTATTCCGGAGTGTCATAATATATTTTATAAACTTATAAAAAATGTGTGATAAGAATTCACTTTTCATTGAAAAAAGATAACTATTACTTTAGTTAATAAGAGTAGTCGAAGTGTTGCAATGAAAGCAGCTATTACAAATGTTAAATATTATTAATAATAAATATATTTTAATATTATCATTGATTTTTTCCTCATGCACAATTATATTCATATTTACAGAATGTTAAGTAATTGTCGTCTACTATGCATATAATGTTTATCCTTATGAAAATGTAAGTACAAAAGTCCCGAACGAAAATGTTAAGATTTCAATATTTTACGAAATATAAGTGATCAAAATAAAGCTTTTTTGTACACTATGTTTTGGAAATCTAAATAGATAACAATTATTCTTTTCGATGAATTTCAAATAAACTTTACTTTAACAAAATTTTTATTTAAGGCTTAGCTATAAAGATGCACCATATTAAAAGTTAGAAAGTCATTATAAATCATTATCTCTTTCAACAAAATAGCTCAGAACTTTTAAATTTGAATATTCATGGGAAATAATGGCATATATTACTTAATTATGTATCAATTTATATATATAATACACATAATAATGTTTATAACGAATATATGATTTGAATGCCCGCGCTTACCTTGGCCCCAAAATGGAGGACGATTGCGGTACTTTATATATCTAGTGACTTTAGGCTCTGCTAAAAGCTGCCCGTGACCTCTCTCCTTCTCTCTGGTTTCACTTTCAGCAGCACTGGTATCATTCATATATTGAAGATTGGAGGTTAAGGAGATACAAGTATGTCTAGGATTTCGCTTTCTGGTTAATTGAAGAAAAATAAGAGAAAATTACAAGTCTTGTATGTGCCAGGAACGTGTATATTTTTATCATTTTGTAATTTGTTTTTCAAATGACTTCAAAATACGAAATGTTTTTGGACGTGCAAATTCCATCTACAGGCGGTGAGCTCTTATTGCGATGTTATATATTTGACTTATATTATTAATTTTATTTCTTAATATGTTCATCATTTTATGAACAATGATGTACGTACTATCGCGATGTGTTCGTTAATTTGTACCTACATATACTATGCATTGTAAATATTGGTAAATTACATCCACTATTAACTTCTTTATTATGTAACTTTTTGTTCTTTATTATATATTTTAATCGATAACAATTTTATTGTCTAATCATCATAAACTAAAACTGTTACAGAATCGGAAGTTGCGGAAACAAAGAAATGCAAAACCATGTCGAATGGTCCTCAGTTACCACTTAAAGACCGAGTAGAAAATCTTAGTTTGAATGTAGATGTAAATACATCAAGTAGATCACCGACAAAAGGAACAAATATGGCACAGTTGTTGATGCAAGCATTAAATAGCAAAGATAAAAACATCTTAACTACAGTATTGTTCACAAAAAATGAAACAATGATTCGTCATACTGTTGCAAAATTACCAGTACAAGCAATAACACTCTTACTCAAAGAGTTATGTATTATGTTGCAAGGCAAAACATATATGTAATTATATTATATTATTATATACAGGGTGTTTGATAGCTGATCATGCAGACGAAAGTTGGAGATAGATTGGGTGTAGCCGAGAAGAAAAGTCATGTACCATAATGTCAAATTGGCAATAGTTACCGAGTTATTAATTAAAACATGTGAGCCAACGAGCGCGTAGAAAGCGGAGGGCGACCGCAGTAAGCACATAGACATTTGATACAGGCGGAGTCAGCGAGTGACGGTAGGCAAGCGCGCGCGGCGAGGAGCAACGTAAACAACAAGAGGCGAACGCGCGCGACGAGGAGCGAGCGAGCGCGAACGACGAGGAGCGAGCGAGCGCAAGCGACAAGAGGCGACGAAGAACGAGCGAGCGCGAACGACGAGGAGCGAGCGAGCTATAAGGAAAAAGCTATAAAGAAAAAGCTCGCTCGCTCCTCGTCGCGCGCGATCGCCTCTTGTCGCTTACGTTGCCCCTCGCCGCGCGCGCTTGCCTACCGTCACTCGCTGACTCCGCCTGTATCAAATGTCTATGTGCTTACTGCGGCCGCCCTCCGCTCTCTACGCGCTCGTTGGCTCACATGTTTTAATTAATAACTCGGTAACTATTGCCAATTTGACATTATGGTACATGACTTTTCTTCTCGGCTACACCCAATCTATCTCCAACTTTCGTCTGCATGATCAGCTATCAAACACCCTGTATACAATTATGTTATATATTTCTTTATTTCTCAAATTCTCATATTCTTGGTTCTTTTTTCTAAGAGTTGTAATATCATAGTATTGTGATATTGTTATCATGTTTGGTTCTCTAGTGGATTAAATCAATTTGTGTATTTCAGATGCAAAGTTGCAGTGAAATGGCTGCAAACTGTAGTCACAGTTCATGCAGCACATTTATTATCACGACCAGATGTGATGGAGACACTCAGTCCTCTTCTCAATTTTATTGATACCAAATTGAAGCTTCTTATAGATGTACAGAGATTAAAAGGGAGAGTTTCTCTCGTGACAGGACTGATATCTCAGACCAATGAAGATGATGACATGTTTGTAACCCAGGATGCCTTGCTTGTTTATCGGGACCCAGGTTAGTAGATTAATGTATTGAGGTATTTGTTTATTTCCTTCATGCATATATAATCTTTGCCACCAAAAAATTTAATTAAACTCAATGTTAAATTACATCGTCCAAAATATTTGTAGATTCATCAGACGATGCTCTTGATATGAATGATGTCGACTCTAGCAGCGAGTCTGATGATAATTGGGAGGAGATGTCAGAGCACAATGAAGAAGATTATAAGAACATCGATTCTGACGATGCCGAATCAATACACAGTACATATGATGATGTTATGAGTACATAGTTGTCATATATTAACCATAATTTTATATAATTTATTCTAATAAAAAGACGAGAACCTCGCATGTTGCTTCTTTAATTTTAGTAACTGTAACACGGAAGGAATAAATATCATGGTATTTGAAAAATGGATTGTTACAAAATTTATGAAATACAACACTAATTTGATAGTAGGCAAAATTAATATATCCAGCAAAATGAGTGCAAATTGAGCGCAAATTGGCGGTAAGTTCGATCAAAACTTGATGCCAAAACCGTAGCCAACTATGTTATCTTTCGGCTTGTGTTTTGACATTAAGACTTGGTACCGGACAACTTGCAGCAAATTTGCAGTACAAACCGCGCAAGTTTTGTAGCGCATAACCTTGCACCGAATAAACGCCAAACACCGAGCAATGCTTGCGCACAAGACACAACAGCAAATCCGCAGCAAGCCTTGCGCTCAATCAACTGATTGGTTGCGTTCAGAAAACAAAGCGCTCACTGAGCGCTTAGTAACTATTGGTCCTTACTGTTAGATCCTTACATTCAGACCAATAACGTTGACGAATTACTCAACGTTATTGGTCTGAATGTAAGGATCTAACAGTAAGAACCAATAGTTACTAAGCACTCAGTGAGCACTTTGTTTTCTGAACGCAACCATTGAGATGGACGCGACGTACACTCGTGAACTAAAAGGTATGTGCACCGATTTTTTGTTGACTTCGGAACGAGCTCCAACTTGAGGAGAAAGACAACCACTGCTTCATACGTCAGCGCTATCACTTATTACGCAGAGAGCAGAAGGATGGCATATACGAGTGTCAAATAAGTAGTGATTGTGGCGTAGACACAAATGTCTTGGAGACTTTGAGTTATAATTGAAGAAATGAAGAAAACAAATAGTGATTGTGAAGAAAAGTGGCAAAAGGCTTCATAAAATTTGTAAAACAGTATATTAAAGGAGAGTATTAATTGTCTAATAATATTTTAAGCAATATTAAAAATATTTTTTAATTTGAATGTAAGTTAAAAAAGTTATAAACCATAATTTCTTTAATGTTAATAATTTTATAGCTATAAATTTGCTATCGACGTTAAATGAATACGTATGTAATGCTATCATTTACATAGGTGGAAAATTATGTTATTGCGCTCATAAAAAATAAGCAGCAGACCAAGTTGAGTAATATGAGTATCTTGTTAAAAAAATATCACTCGGCTTGGTCTGCTGCTTATTTTTTATGAGCGCAATAACATAATTTTCCACCTATGTAAATGATAGCATTACATACGTATTCATTTAACGTCGATAGCAAATTTATAGCTATAAAATTATTAACATTAAAGAAATTATGGTTTATAACTTTTTTTTAACTTACACTCAAATTTAAAAATATTTTTCACTTAAAATATTATTAGACAATTAATACTCTCCTTTAATATGCTGTTTTACAAATTTTATGAAGCCTTTTGCCACTTTTCTTCACAATCACTATTTGTTTTCTTCATTTCTTCAATTATAACTCAAAGTCTCCAAGACATTTGTGTCTACGCCACAATCACTACTTATTTGACACTCGTATATGCCATCCTTCTGCTCTCGTAATAAGTGACAGCGTTGACATATGAAGCAGTGGTTGTTTTTCTCCTCAAGTGGGAGCGTGTTCCGAAGTCAACAAAAAATCGGTGCACATACCTTTTAGTTCACGAATGTACATTGAGTTTTAAATGGTTCTTAATCTATACATTGCAATATTTTGATTGCAATTTTGCATTTAAAAAGAGAAAGATATAAATACTCAGTAAGCAAAAAATTATTATTACAACGTTATGACGATATTCAATAACATGTAACGTTTTCGAATATGTCGTATCTAATGTTGTATATAATATCATAATTAACAAACTTTGACTCCGATTTGGAGATTTCGGTAATGTTAATTTCACAAATGTAAAATTGTTATAAATAATAATAATGTTATAATAATATGCTAACATTTTGGTAATGTTTCTCAGTATAAAAATTAAAAACTAATTATTGCTCTTTTTCTAGTAGAAATGATTCTTAAAGTTGTTAGTCTATACTGGTTTTACTTGAAACTTATGGCGAATTCGATTGGAAGCACTAGTGCGCACTAGTGCACATTAAGTGCACCCCCTTTCAAGTTTTAGCATTCGGTTGTCTTGCATTTCACTAGGTCAAAAATCTGCATGTTCGGTTGACAGTATACTGGAAACGGGCGCTAGAGGAAAAGTATTCGATTGAGCTGCATTATTCTAGTGCAGTGATAATTAATATTCGGTGGAGGTGCATCGCACTCATGCAAAAGGCACTGATTTGCACTGAGATTTTCGTCAGTGCGGTTCAGTGCAGTGATGGATCAACCAACGATGACTGAAAAAGAAGAAACAGCAATTAATATATTATTATTAGATGAACTATTAAATAGTTCAAGTAGTTCTAGTGAGGAGGAAATGATGGCAATATTAATGACAAGTACTACAGAAATTTCAAAAGTTCAGAATATGATGGATATTGTTAACGAATATTCTAATGAAGAAGTAAGTTATATTATATGTAATTTTTATTTTAAATATTTATTATAGTCACAGATTAAAAATATTACTTGCTTAAGTTTCAGCGACATTTTTGTTTAAAAGTACATATAATATATTACATGATATTTATACAAATTCGGAAATTTTTAATACATTGAAAGGGCATGGTGGACGTAATATTGTACATAGTAATGTACAGTTATTATCATTTCTATGGTATATTTCTTATAGACTGATATAATTGCATATATAAGTATATAATAATATTAACATTATAGGTTTGCAGGAAACAAATCAGTCATACGGGATGTTGCATCCAGATTTAATATAGCAGAATCTATGTTTTATGCTATCACATCAAACATTATGAAGTTTTTGAATGATATTGCTCCAAATGTAATAACAATGCCTAACACAGAAAACAGAAAAAGAGAGGTTGTTCGAGAATTTGAAGATGTAATATTTTTAATTTATACTGAAATGAATGTATAACAGTAGACTAATAATTATCAATTAGAGAATGATTAGGTTATTGTAAGATAAAAGTCTAGGTTTTTGTGTGTCTATTAATCAAACTTTATTAAACAACTCTATAAAATAAAATTTTTGATGAAATTATGTGTGGACATCGTATTTTACACTTAAAGGTTTATACATAAAAATATATTATTTGTAACTTATATTTTCTATTATTTGTAAGTTATATATGAAATTTTTTTAATTTAAAATACTTTCTTATATCTAAATATAAAATAACTTTATTTCAGATATGTGGATTTCCTGGAGTTCTTGGATGCATTGATGGAACATACATTAAAATTAGAATGCCTGCTAAAAAAATCAAAAGCACCTATGTTAACAGACATGATTATCCATCTTTAACGTTACAAGCAGTTTGTGATGTCAACAAGTTATTTTTAGATGTTTTTACTGGTCCTCCTAGTAAAGTACATGATGCAAGAATATTCCAATTATCATTTTTAAGTAATGAAATACAAAATATATCAGAAGATTATCACTTATTAGGCGATGCGGCATACCCTTTAAAAAAATATCTGTTAACACAGTATAGAGATTATGGTAATCTCACAGCCACTCAACGAAATTATAATCCTAAATTATGTACAACTAGAGTGAAAATAGAAAATGCGTTTGGATTATTAAAACAAAGATTTAGGCAATTAATGCAACTAGATTTTCTCACAGTTAAACGTTCTGCTAATTTTATTATTTCCTGTTGCGTATTACACAACTTATATATCATTAATAATGACTATTTAGATAATTTAGATATTGAAAACATAGAATATAATGAGAGACATGTTTATAATGAACAAAATCCGAACGATAGGATGGATGGTGAGACAAAAAGATATTATTTGTAATTTATTGGCTTTTAATTAATTAACATAAGTATACATGTATGCACAAATAAAACTTTTTCTAGAATACAAAATAAGATTTATTTTATTTTTAAACATACAATATATATTTAGAACTTAAAATATTTCAATTTTAAAGAAAATATGCAATGAAGAAATTGAAAAAAGTTTTGTAAGATATAAAGACTATTTCCCTGGATTGTGTACTATAAAATAACATAAAGAATTTGTTTTATAAGATGTTAAGACTATTTCCCTGGATTGTGTACTATGAAATAATATAAAAATTAAAAGTTTTTTGTATCACATAACATATAAAGAAATAATCCTAATATATAATGAAGAAATAGGCCCATATTCAGAACACGTTTGTGACTATGTCAGCGCGCTGTTAACCAATGAGAAGCCACGCAATATGTCTTCTGATTAGTTAACAGCGCACTAACATAGTTATAAGCATGCTCTGAATATGAGTCAGTCTTTAGTATTATATAACATATATAAAAAAAAACAGTCTTAGTATCACATAAAGTATAAAGAAACAGTCTTTAGTATCACATTACGTATAAAATAATAACATTTTTGTAAATACTTAAACATCTTTAGATTATATAAAGTTTTATAATATAGAGTAATTAAGTATATGCTGTTTCTATTCATTTTTATTATTTGTATCATTGTTTGTTGAAGGTCTGTTCATATAGTTAATTAATACTTCCAATTTTTCTGCATGTCTTCTTTGTCTTCCTTCTTTATTTGAATCTGAATGAATAACAAAATCTCACTTATAGACATTTTTTTTGTTGCTTTTGGTGCTCTAGAAACTATTGCAATATTTTCTTTATGTTTTTTAATTATTTTCCCAACACCTTGCAATATTTCAGGTTCTAAACTGTCATCTATTACCTTTATCTTGTTCAGTTCTTCTTCAAATTCTACTCTTGCTCGTTTAGCACCGGATTGTTGATTGTTTCTAACAGATTGACTTTTACATTTTAAAATAGTTTTGTAACGATTCTCACATTGTACAGCACTTCGTACAATATTTAATTCTGTTGATATGTCTTTAGATATTTGGATCCACATTGACTTTTTAGATTTAAATTGTTTCATAGGACCAATTAAAGGTAAATATTGCTCATATTTGTCTAATAATAATCGTGTACTTTCATCGCACCAAGTAATTTCATTTTACCTAACCAAGTTATTTCATTTTTATTTTTGCTGTCATCCATGTTATTTACTTTACTTTAAAAATCTGTAACTAATAATAGAAAATATTACAATATATAACATTTAAAGCTAAAATTATAAGAAAAATATGAATTATACAAAATGCATTAAAACTATTACAAGTAAAATGTTATAAACAAATAATAACCGAATACACATAATGTTCAATATAACGTACATGTTAATTGTAATTTTTTATTTAACAATACCAGACTGCACACTCCAAACTAAATATGTAAAAAATTCTACAAATAAATTACCTCAAGATCTAACCCCTTTAGCGTGGTCTACAATGGCAGTAAGTAATAAGAAGTAAGCGTAAGCGGTAAGAAATAAACCAATCACAGTCGATTATGACAAAAATAATCAACTGTGGTTGGTCCATTTCTTGAGCCAGCGGCACACGGTGCTTGTTTTCGTGCTGGATTGCTTGCTGGATGAAAATACTGCGTTCTGATTGGTGCATTTCCATCCATCTTCGGAAATGTACCAATCACAACGCAATATTTTCATACAGCAAGCAATCCAGCACGAAAACAAGCATCGTGTGCTGCTGGCTTTACTGCTTACGGCCAATGACTACGTTTACACGGCAAGGTTAATCCGGATTAGTAACAACCGTAGTTAGTGAATTCTTTGATTCGATTGGTATATTCTTTTAGATCTAAAAATATATTCTAATCGGATTCGAGACTGCATTAACTACGGTAGTTACTAAGCCGAAGTTAGAAGCTGTGTAAACGTAGTCATTGTAGACCACGCTTTAGAAAATCGCTACTTGCATTCAATTGGGTCAGTGCAAGTAACCGCATTCAGGAGCGCTATTCTGTACATGTCTACCGACAATTGTCGGTATCGGTCGTTACCGACGAACGTCGGTTGCGTGACCGACGTTCGTCGATAGAACGATGCACACCTATTCTCTACATGGACACTACCGACAATCATCGGTGCAACCGACGAATTTCAATCGTCGGTTGACGTCACAAATGGTCGAGAGACAGTCACGGACAAAAGTGAGAATACATCGTAATTCGACCAATCGCGTAACGAGTCTATGAGAAAGTCCGCGATTTTCAAGTTTTACAAACATAACCGTATTCATAGAGTTGTGTAGAAAAATAGAGAAGATACAAGAGAAAGCATCATGTCAGAGAATAGAAGTAGGTATGTATATATATTTTTAATGCTATTCATATATATATATATATATATATATGCTGTGTGGATAAATATTACATTATATATATATATATATATATATAATGTATATATATACACACATAATGTAATATTTACCTACACAGCACAAAATATCCAAAGGATGTACGTAGACATAGGGACATCCTTAGAATCTCCTTACGACGTCCCCTAAACATCTGTGTTGTGTGGGTATACTAATAAATACTATTCGATAACTTAATAAGAGAATTGTACTATCAATAAACAGTAATATTTTTTGTAGTACTATTAAAGAGCAACGTTCTTCGCGTGCATCAATATTGCAAATTGAAGATTTGGTATATGGAAAAGCATAGCCGTTTCACTGCCGGCCGGTTTAACGGAAATGAGGGGAAACTGCAACTGCAGATGCAGTGGGATGAACTGTGTAAAAGGCTAAATTCTCTATCCGGGCCAAAGAAGTCGGTCAAGCTGTGGCAAACTGTAAGATATATTTTAAGCTATTTACACAATATATGTTCCAGACATTTTTACCAAGAGCAAACAGATATGATGCAAATGCGATAAGCTATATATAAATAATTGAGATTTTTAAAATTACTTTCCCACCTTGATTTCCGGACATGTATACATTTCGTAGTAAACCCCAATATCTTGATACATGTTAAATAAATTTTATGTAATGTTCTCCCTTATTCAGCTGACATTCTAATATCAATGTTATATAATTGCTTTTCTGTTATATGACTAGTTTACTGGGATACATTTGATTGGGATTTGCATATTACATTATTATATTTAATACATTAGGTATGGCGGGATCTGAAGAGCATTTCTTCGAGGAAAGCAAGCAAGTTAAGAGCTGAGCGCTTACGCACAGGCAATTTTCCAGCTGAAGAAGCCCCATTGCAGAACATTGAACAACGCGTAGTGTCTGCAATTGGTTTAGATTATGTTGAGGGAAATGCGCATTGTCCTGATAGTTGCGTGGAAGATATACGTATATATGTTCAATGTATCTCTTTAACCATTTAAAATAATTATAATACGTACATAAAGAAACAATTTACGTTATAATAATTGTTTGTTGTAGGAAAATATTGAACGACTTGAGATGGATGACGAAGATCCCCTTTATCAAATCCCACAGACCCGCTCTTTACATTGTATATTGTACATATTTAATGTAACAATGTTACTGCATAATTCTTCATTATAATTAAAACGTGGAGTTCCTAGCTGCTCGTTTCAATGGAGTCATTAACCACGGCTCCAATCCATACCCATCATCTGTGAAAATAACACTTCGATTTTACTTTACTTTAGATTCAGTTTACTTATTTTACATTTTCAATATGATGAATATATTTAATAAGCAGTTGTTTTAAATAATTACTTACAACCATTTTACATTTTACAAGCTTTTGAAGAAATATTTTACCTAGTATTTAATAAGAGAAAAATAATAGTATTACCGATAAGCCAAGTCTTGCGTTCTCCTTGCATATACCATCATTCCATGACACGAAGAGTAGCACAATTTGCCCAAATATATGCATCATGTCGTGCCCCAGGATATCGAGCATTAATGTTTAGAATTTTTAAATCAGGGTCACAAATCTGCAAAAAAATATCATATATACATAAAATTAAAATTGTTATCCCAATTTTAACATTTATACTATTTATTTATATATACCGCTTGAACATTGAGACAGTGATCACCCCAGTGATTGACGTAGACTTCTTCATGAAGTTGCGGTGCCAGAATCGATACATAAGTGCAATCTATTGCACCGATAGCACCTATAAACAGATGTTGTGCTGTGCGGAACTTTTCTCTTGCAGCTTGTCGATCCTCCGCTGTAATAGGAAATTTTACCCATGGTCATAGTAATAGGTCGTTTATTCCTTTTGTCACGACTGCTACACAACGGCTTACAGTCGATTGACTGACAGCCAGATTCCATTGTTCCCTAATGGCACCTTGGTAGCAGCCAACAGCATAAAATCTTAAAGCTATTAATACCTATTAAACAATATTTGTTGAACATATAGAAATAGTAATAATTTCATATTAAATCACACACATAAAATATATGTGCATATACTTGACGCTGTACTGAAATTCCATATGGTCATAATCGTTGTAACCTTGGTCTTAAGATCTCTGCTAATTCCAACACAGTGTCAGGTGGCAAGCGAAATAAATTAATGAAAACATTATCGTGTAACTCGAATGGATTATTAGTATCACGCCAGACTCTTCTTCCTATTCGACGTTGTAGCATTCTCACGCGATTCTCAAGGTATAAAAGATCCCACATGAGGTATTCAGCCATACTAAATTCATATTAAATATTATTGGATTTAACAATTATATTATTATATTATTGGATATAACATATCGTCAGTAAAATTAGAAAACCTAATTCCAATTTTTAACAAATTTGAGATTTTCATTTCATTCAACTTAATAAGATAAGTTGGATGAAATGAACCCAGCAAATACAATGTTGCGTGTAACATACATGTTAGTTGTAATTTCCTACTCAACAATGTAACTGTTATAACACATGTGTTATATAACAGTTATATTATTGAGTAGGAAATTACAACTAATATGTACGTTACATGTAACATTGTGTTTGCTGGGAATATTTCAATTTCATAAAAAATTGGAGTTAGGTTTTCTAATTTTGCCGACGATATAAATAAAACACTAGAGTAACGGTCCCAATTACTGCCAGTGTCCTAATTACTGCCATTTTCTTTAATTATAGTATTAAAATAAAAAATATGACAGCGTTATATATTTAAAATCTTGGTTTAATATTAAAATATTTTAAATATATCCCATTAAATCTACTAGGATATATTAGTGTAACTATCCAGTTACAATGTTACATGTAACATTGTGTTTACTGGGTATAATGCTCATATTTTTTATTGTAATACTACAATTAAAGAAAATGGCAGTAATTGGGACACTGGCAATAATTGACCGTTACCCTATAAGTATAGACAAATTTATTCTTTTCGACGTGTAAATGAGTTAAAAGAATTACGCAAAAAATGCGGAAGAAAAACTCTAATTAATATCACTTGTTAACCTTCAGTTAGTAGCGCTATTTTCGTCCTTAATATATTTTAGGATATATTTTTAACCTAAGTCATGAACAATAATAGATTGTACACTCATTACTTAGGGTAAGAGGATAAGGTTTTGTACATATTATATACTATTCTAATACTATTTTTTATTTCCTGCTGCCGTGTAAAGACCGCAGTATGAATTGAAGGTTAACTCCATTGACTAAATTTTATGAGAATTTAATTAAATTTACTTACTTGCACATTTTTGGATTACAATTTACAGCACACACACACTATTATATTTTACACCAACAGAAACGTAATAAACTAACCAAAAATTTTATAAATATGTGAAATCGCAATGTGTGCAGTATCACTACCTCAAATCGCGAATTCACTAACATAATCACATGAACCGACGATAATCTCGTCCGTGTGCGTCGGTCAAGCGCTACCGATGGCCAAGGGATCCCCTGGTAGGATTATCGTTTATGACCGATACTTGTCGTTCATTTTTAACGACGCGCGTCGGTGAGGAGCTGTACAGAATAGCTCTAACCGACAAATGTCGGTAGGGAGCGTTAACGACACCGACAATTGTCGGTACACGTGTACAGAATAGCGCTCCAGTGCTGCGATTTTGTAACTCGTTATTGGAGTTAACGACAGTTTCGTTATTGTTGCGCAGCTTTTCTACGGTATACAAAAACTGCGCAACGATAACGAAAGTGTCGTTAACTCCAATAACGAGTTACAGAATCACGGTACTGTGGTGCGATTCTGTAACTCGTTATTGGAGTTAACGACAGTTTCGTTATTGTTGCGCAGCTTTTCTACGGTATACAAAAGCTGCGCAACGATAACGAAAGTGTCGTTAACTCCAATAACGAGTTACAGAATCGCAGCACAGTACCGCGATTCTGTAACTCGTTATTGGAGTTAACGACGATTTCGTTATTGTTGCGCAGCTTTTCTACGGTATACAAAAGCTGCGCAACGATAACGAAATCGTCGTTAACTCCAATAACGAGTTACAGAATCGCAGCACTGTGCTGTGTTCGAAAACGTCACTCGGGTACATCTGCTGCGTTGATGTGAGAGAGACATAAAAATGAAATAAAGAAAGAAAGAGAGTATCCGAGTGATGTTTCCGAACGCAGCCCAGTGGTACGATTCTGTAACTCGTTATTGGAGTTAACGATAGTTTCGTTATTGTTGCGCAGCTTTTCTACAGTATACAAAAGCTGCGCAACGATAACGAAAGTGTCGTTAACTCCAATAACGAGTTACAAAATCGCGGTACAGAGTACCTATTATGGAACTCGTCGAAATCAATTCCGATCGAATTTATTCCGTTATTTCCTAGATTTCTATTGTCTCTTCTAGGGGAAACGGAATTATTCCGATCGGAATCAATTCCGACGAGTTCCATAATAGATACCCAGGTCTGTAAATATGAAACCGGAATTTGCCTATAGATGGCCCTAGCTGTCAATGTAGTTACCGTCAAACCGCGTCATTGGTTGCGTTCAGAAAACGAAGCGTTTAGTAACTATTAGTCCATACTGTTAGATCCTTACATTCAGACCAATAACGTTGACGAATTATTCAACCGTTGTGTAACCGTTATGTCTTCTGGACGCAGCCATTGGCGCCATTTCCATTTGTTGACATCTGTGTTACGTCCTGTGGTCTGTTCTTTTCACTGCACTGCGGAACTAGTGCAATAAGTTAGAATGAGACAACTATATTTTTTCTCACTTTAACATTTACACTTTAACTTATTGCAGCAGTTCAGTAGTGCAGCTAAAAAGAACAGACCACTGGACAAGCATAGAACATGCAATGTCTATATTTGTTTGGTTTACTTCGGATCAGCACTATTCTTGTCCAAATCTTTATTATTTGAATATGTTGCCTTTGGAGGTGGGTTACTGTTAGGTTTAAAAATAATAATAATAATATTCTCGCTAATGTTGAATTTAACTTCAAGTATATTTCTCTTTATTTCAGATTTTATTCTCGGGACCGAAGATTTTGATGAATCTGTTTGGAAAACAGCCAGGTCGAGCGTGCCTAGATTATAATAACTTTTTAACAGATGTCTAAATTGAATCCGCCGTCCGACTCTTCTTGTTCTTTTCGGCATGAGAGATTTTTAGGTAATATTTATTCCTTGTTCTTCTCGACATAAGAGGTTTCTTGGTAATACTTATTTTAACAATATCTATTATAGGGTAGGTGGAAGGGACATGGTTAAGTTTAAAGAATAAAAAGGCGAACAGTGCTCGTGGTTCAAGCACTATCGTTCTTAAGGAAATGAGGAAGAATGGTGCTCGTGGTTCAAGCACAACACTCTTAAAGTAAGGAAGAGAAGAACGGTGCTCGTGGTTCAAGCACTGCGTTCTGGGAAAAAGAATGAAGATGATAATCAGTGAGGGAAGAGAGGTAAAGAAATCTGTACACACACACATATATACAGGGTGTTATAAAAGTATGGGAAGAGCAGAATAACTCGAAAAATATGAATCCTAGAAAAAATGCGAAGTACTGGGTTTTTATGATTTTTTCCTGGCTATCTAACGGTGACCTTGGATTTGACCTTGACAATGACCTTGGAGGTAATTTCAAGGTCAGGTCAATTTTTTTAATGGAACTCCATACTTTTGACCCCAAAAATGAAAAGAGCGAAAAATTTTACGTTCGAATATGACCTTGAACACTGCCAAATTTGACCTCTGAAGGTCACATGAAGGTCTAAGCTTGTTTTAGGCTGAAAACGCGAATATCTTCGAAAATGCACCTGCTAGGGAGGAATGTTACGCATAAGAATAAGAATGTAGAGGTCAACGAGGGACATTCAACCGTGACCTTGCCCTTATTCTCAAGGTCATGAGTTAAGATTATTATTAAGATCAAACCGGATTTTTCAGGACTGAAAATTCATACTTTTGACCTAAAAGTGTCAAGATTGAAAAATTTTACGTTCGGATATGACGTTTTCAACCTTGACCTTGTTCTTAAGGTTATGTGTCAGTCATATCAAAGTCAATTAATTTTTTTTAGGCTGGAAACACATACTTTTACCCCCCCCCCCATAATGTGAAGAGTGAGATTTTACGTTATGTACGAGGTCACACTCCGATTGTTGGTAATTCATCAATATCGGGCGCCATTTTGGATCGGTCATCTTGAATTTGTAAAATCCAACGTCGAATTCGATTTCAGAAACGACTTCGAAAACTCCTTAAACGAGATCCAATTTTTGTTATTCTTAAATATCGGCCGTTATTTTGAATCGGCCATCTTGAATTTGCAAAATCCGACGTCGGATTCGGTTCCCTCTTTGACCTCTACATTCTTATTCTTATGCGTAACATTGCTCCCTAGCAGGTGCATTTTCGAAGATATTCGCGTTTTCAGCCTAAAACAAGCTTAGACCTTTATGACCGAATATGATCTTGAACACTGCCAAATTTGACCTTCAGAGGTCAAATTTGGCAGTGTTCAAGATCATATTCGAACGTAAAATTTTCCGCTCTTTTCATTTCTGGGGTCAAAAGTATGGGGTCCCATTTAAAAAAATTGACCTGACCTTAAAATGACCTTCAAGATCATTGTCAAGGTCAAATCCAAGGTCACCGTTAGATAGCCAGGAAAAAATCATAAGAACCCAGTACTTCGCATTTTTTCTAAGACTCATATTTTTCGAGTTATTCTGCTCTTCCCGTACTTTTATAACACCCTGTATATATTATAAAATGACTCTATATTGTTAAGTTTTAAAATTCATACACTAAATTTAATATAGTTAATAACTGGCTCAATATTTATTCAAGTAATAGAAATAATTTTTTATAATATCTTATGAGGAACTTATGAGGAAAAGAGGCTGGTTCGACCTTTAATGATTTGAATTTTATTTAACAAATGTCTTAGCATTTGCAGACGGAGTTCCAAGAACAATAATCTTTAATACCGACCTTTCTGATTCCAGGCTCAAGACCCTTTGGCAATCGACTAACAAGAGACTCAGCGAAAAACTATCTGATGGCTGATTGGAGGCTAACAAAAGACTGCCTAGAGACTGATGAGAGACTGACCGCGCGCGAAGGGCCGAACTCTTTTTATACCCAAGCCCGACACTATAGGTGTCAATTGAGCGTCTTTTCCTAATTCACTATTCATTATTTATTGATTTAAAAATATAAAAATGTGATTATCTAGTAACTAAAATTATACTTAATCATATGTAGCGTTTGGTAATTCAGTTGTCTCGTTGTTGGTTGATTTATTAATAAAATTATGTTTTACTAAGAAATGGAAATGTTGTTATTGATTTTCTTTAATATAATATAAGAATTTGGAAATTTTTAATATTAAAAGAACTATTTCATTCGGGCGTAGTAATTGTTAAAGTTAAATCATACGTATAGATCCTCTTACGATTCTAAAGCGCATATACATTAGGATAGGCAGTTTGACAATAATATTTGAAGAATTATTTGCGAAATATGATGGCAATTATTTAATATTATTTAAAAAGAAAAATAAAAGAAAGAGAGGAAATTATTTTCCTCTTCGGGTCTTTGTTTCTGGTCTTTATTTGGTTCGCAGTACGTGGGATAGCTATCGCTCGATGATATCTATAACATAAACACATTCCAATATGTGCGCGACTGTGCCCAAACGAAATCGTTCTTAGTTTCCGAGACAAATGAATCTATAAGCTGGCTCTAAATTTATTCCTTGAATTTTCTTATTCTCTCCTTTCCTATTTTATATATTTACTATGTCGATGTCTGCTTCAGTCCTATGTTAATGTTAATTTTATTTTAAAGTATGCTATTTAGTATTATTTTTATGTTATTTAGTTGTTTGGTAATCTATCGCTTACTAAACGAAGCAAGGAAGTAGAAGGAAGAGAGAGAAAGAAAAAGATAGATGATAATTCAGTAAATAGTTTCGAGTAATAATGATATTATATTATATTAACGATAAAAGACGGCAGAGGTACCTGTTGATTGCAGAGGTGTTTGTAGGAAGCGCTGCAGTTGGATTAGTCGATGATAGGTAAGGATTTGATTGGGTAAGAAAAGGTATGGTGAGTTTTGGTGAGAAGATAGGGAATTTTAATATGGAGGGACATTACATCTGACAAAGATTTTCAACTCACAACAATATAAGTTTCATACAACAGCATAGTTTGTAATAGCGTTGAACATGTCGAATTTTGTGCCTGGAAGCTACGATTTGCGGACAGCATTGATTTTCTGTTACCATTTGAAGAAAACTGCTGCAGAATCTCTTCGAATGCTTGTCGAAGCTTACGGTGAGCATGCTCTTGGTAAATCACAGTGCTTTGAGTGGTTTAAAAAATTCAAACGTGGCGATTTTTACGTAAGAAACGAAGAACGTGGAAGACCATCGAAAAAGTTTGAAGACAGCGACTTGCAAGCATTGTTGAATGAGGATGACGCTTAAACGCAACAGCAATTCGCGAATCAATTAAATGTGACACGAGAAGCCGTCTCCATACGTTTGAAAGCATACATGGGAAAGATCTAGAAGATGAGAAAATGGGTTCCACATGAAGTGAATGAAAAACAGCAGG